CAACCTTGTTCATTTAACATCCATTGTGATATGATCCCCATCGACACACACGTCTCCCAGCTTACCCCTTTCTGTGGAGATTCAATGCGACCCTTGAACTTACATTACTAGTGAACCAGTGCTTTTTTAATGCTAGTGGGGTGGGACTAAGTCCCTTGTACTGCGGCCACTTCTGGCCTGTTGTACCAGCCCCAGATGATAGGGGAGGGTGATTGTGGAGCAATTGGTGGAATGGAGATTGGCAGGGGAAACCGAAGTACTCGGAGAAAACCTGCCCCAGCGCCACTTTGTCCACCACAAATCCCACTTGACCAGACCCGGGATAGAACCCGGGCCGCCGCGGTGGGAAGCCAGCGACTAACCGCTTGAGCTATGGCGCGGCCCTGAGTGAACCAGTAACTTCATGACGTTCATGACATCTACCCAGACGGCTCACGTCCCGACAATCCCTTGCACTAAATACCCTGCAGACCTCATTAAGTCCACAAATTTCATTTAGAACGCTTTTCGGTGTAATTTGCCTCAGCGCTATATCTAAGCACCTTATTAGCTCCATCTACAAAAGAATTTCTGACTCTGCGCAGTGTGATAGCTGCACTACCAACAGCTTTGCAACAGAGGATTCGTATTCGTAAAGGCAATAAAGCTATCCCTATAACAGGCCGTGGAGGCCCATGGAGCTGTGAGACGTCAAGGTTCCCGCATTTTCTAGACAGTCGGCTCATAGGTGGCGGTGAGGTTGTCAGTCTCACGCGCCGACCGCACTTTACCCCCAGGAAGATTTCTGGTACTCATTTCTGTTAAAGGCTGAGAGCCATAGTGCGGCTGGAAGGATTAGGTAAATCTAAAAATCGTATGACCTCATTGGGAATAGAATCCGCACAGTGCCTCAACCAACTACGCTACCGCGTGCCTCGGTGACGGTATACACAGAATTAAAATGAAAGTAGGCCTATCTGGGAGTTAGGAGTACATTCTCGTCGTGAATAAGGTGCGGTGCTTTTGTGTTACAAACTTCACAAACTATACACCGCGCCCAACCAGACAGAAATGAGTTTATGGCATTCGTAGGATCCTAGTCAAACGCAATGTTGCTGTAGCGTACAGGGTACACGTATGGAGACTGAAGCAGGAGAAGAGCTGAACGGAATATTGATTCCGGCCGCTTTACCCCCGGTATCCAGTGGACAGAAGGTTGGGTGAGCCTCCGAGCCAGCCTGGACGTTGTGGAATACAGAAAAAAATCTTTTGCCCCTGCACAGGATTGAACCCCAACCGCCCATCCAGTACTCTGACCCTAAATAAATTCGCTTAGTGGGGGGTGGAGTCCAACTGGGTCCACTTGGCATGGCAGCCACTGATTGGCCTATTGTAGCCTGCCCTGGGTGATTATGATGGAGAATTTTGTGGAATGAAGATTGGCAGGTGAAACCGAAGTACTCGGAGAAAACCTCCCCCAGCGCCACTTTGTCCACCACAAGTCCACTTGACCAGGCCTTGGATCGAACCCGGGCCGCCGCGGTGAGAAGCCAGCGACTAACCGCTTCAGCTATGGCGCGGCCCTAAGTTATATTGTAAGAAAAGTGAAGGAAATTTGTCTTCATACTTAAATGCTAATATGTTAAGAGTATATCTTTTTATGTTATGCCACTGCAGGATCTTTTTTGTGCTGACAATGACATTTGAAACAAAGGGGCTGCGCCCCCGTGACCCGTGGCTGAACAACTTGTCCTCCTAGAACATATACAGCGTGCTCTCGGGTCGGCGGAAGGTTCGGATGCCGCTGGCTCGTCTGTTTCCTCTACCGCCCCACGAGTTGATAGCACGGACAGACTGACACTTCTTATGGCACGCGCTGCTGCAGCAGTTCATACTGTTGCTTACTGGGCCAGGCCGGGTACAGCCCTCTTATCTTCACTTTGATATTGTCACGTGTTTTAGTGACTTGCAGACGGGGTTTGGATTGGTGAATAGATTTACTGGATGAAGAAAGCAGTCTTCTGGGATTTGGCACCGTGTATATGTGGTGTTAACCGACGTTTCGGAGGAACGTATCGCCTCCATCTTCAGGGTAGAAGAAAAAATATATAAGAAATTTGCAAGCAAAAAGACCGTGAGAACCGGTAAAAGCAGTTCCTCCGAAACGTCGGTTAACACCACATATACACGGTGCCAAATCCCAGAAGACTGCTTTCTTCATAGTCACCGCCGTGAAAGCCTTAAATCTTACACAGATTTACTGGATACTCACAAGTCGTAACTATAAACAGTTATACCACTCCAAAGATTGTTGTAACTATAACAGTTACAATAAGCCTTCAACGTCTGCTTGCCTAGTCGTTGCTTGGTAACACTTCAGCTATGCAATACTAGAACGATGTCTGTTGAATGAATGTTGAAGATTTTCCTGTCTCTCGAACTCTCTCTTACTACTCAGTACGACCGACTGCGAGTCGAGTCTTATGTTATGACCGAAAATCCGTCGGCACCCATCTGGGGCATAAGACCAAATCTTTATTACTGTCAGTCAGTTGCGGGTTTGTTGATTTGGTTCGCTCTCTCTGACGAGAGGACGGGCCTGTCGTTTACAATTGCTGCTCGTCCTCGCCAGCGCAGTCATTCTCGGTTCCGTGTCCTTGAGACTAGCCACCATATTTTACTGTCTCACGTTCGAGACTTCCCTTTTCGTCGCTTCCTATGACTCGCAAGGCTACGGTGGAGGTACTCGACTACGCCTCCACACGGGATACTGACCAAAGGGGAATTTCCGAATGAATAATTCGTCGTAGATTCGGCACGACGCCCTGCTGCAAAACATGCGTTATCGTGACTCTAATGAGAGGTGACCCATTCCGGCTAGCACTTCTCCGAACCTTGACGTCATTTTGGTCGGGGTTGTGTGAAACACCAGGTGGGTCCGCGTGCATCTGAAGCTCCGTGACGGGCGGCCTCGACTCCAAAATAGCCAACTGCGAGCGAAACGGCACTGAAACTTGGTGGCACTTTTTGCACTTATTTTTAGACCCAATCGTGCCTGTCCGTCCAAATGCACGCTTTACTTTGCACGCGGAATTCGTACTTAATACCGAGCTCAAAATTACACGTGCGGCCGTCCGAAGGGAGCAGCCGACAGTTTACTGCAAGGGCTAAATTAATGTGAAGGCACTTAACGACGTTGTCGGTAGGTCTGACTTCCGCGTCGAATGGTACGATTCATGCACCATAAATTGAAGACGACTCCGAAGGAGGCTGTCATGTCCTGATTTTAGCTAGATCTCGGCATTTGCGGGAAGGACTCGGGAAAACTACAATAAAAAAATTCTCATCAGGATAAAAAAATGTGTCCTGGCTAAAATTCAAAGCAAGCACCTCCCAAACACAGGTCTACAGCGTTTTCTCAAACTGTGGTCCGTGACAGTTCATCATATAGCCTGCACCATATTACACAGTCCATGCAGTGAGGTATCACATGTAACAGAATAACTTTAAAAAATTGTGATGAATCATTGTTTAAAAATTATTTTAAATGGGAGAGAAAAATTTGGTTTACGGCAACTTTGTAATTTTTCTGCTGCTGCCACGAAAAAGTGAAGCTGCATGCTCCTCATGGGTGAGGGAGATGTTTTGGGAGCTGCATGGCCCGCAGTTCCTGCAAGTTCGAGAGACAGTGCTCTCTTGGGGTGGGCTGGGCAAGCAATCCATTCATCTCACTTATGTTACAATCTAATGGCACTTTCTTCTGAAGCTACGAACTCCTGGGTTCACCATAAGCAGGGAATCTATTGACTAGCTGAGAAACTATCAACTGACCAGGAATGGCCCTGAGTTAATCATCATGCATTTCTGTGCATATCCCTACATGTAAGTTGCTGAACATTTACGAGACCAAAAATGTTTCAAAACAAAAGTTATGCAGGAAAAGAAATCCTGGGAATAATTAATTGCTTACTTTCCTCCAATATGACATGCAACACATATAAATCAATTCAAAAACAGAAGAAACATTTGGACTTGCTTACATATACACAATAATATAAAGGTAACTGCCTAGCAATGGCAGTAACATGTTCCACCCATTGCCTAGCAAAGGCCTTCGGTCTTTTGGGTGTTACACTTAGTGTTCTCTCTTTGCCCCTAGGATGTATTATGTAGATGTTAAACATAGTCAAGACTCAACTCCTGTGTGGAGACGGGTTAGAATACCTCTGCCCTAGCCCTGCGAGTCGTAGGTGACAAAAAGGGAACCCGGTGCCTGGGCCATATAAATACAGGGACCTGGCCCTCTAAGTTTGGGGAGTCTCAAATCTCAGACAGTAAAATATGGTCATGAGTCCCACAGGACTCAATGACTGTGCTGGCGAGGACTAGCAGCAATTATAAATGACCCATTCTCTCATCAGAGATGGTGCTCCACATAAAAAAAACGCAACTGTTTGACAGAAATAAAAATCTGGTCTTGGGCCCCAAATGGGTTCTTGACACCAATATCATAACATAATTTTGAATCTGATTTGACAAAATTCAGTCTCCATTTGAGAGGGAGGAAGAAGAGGTCCACTGCTCTGCTCAGAGCACCAGCACTGAAAGGCCAAAACCTCTTGTGAAAGAGGAGACCCCCTTGCCTAGCAACAATAAGAGGGAGGGGGAGCACACTGCATTAGCTTACTTTAGGGGAGTGCTTTTTGAGATAAACAGAATTTTCACGTTATTCATACATATTCTAGACTGAAGACAACTGCTGTCATGCATGCAACATTGCATAGTGACAGAAAGTTAACATCATGGAGTAACCTGCTGCCTCCATCTTCAAGGTACAATTCAAATCTTATATTTCCTAACTTATTACCATAAGGAAAGTTAGACAAAGAAAAACATGTAAGTGGATCAGTACGACACAAACCTGCACTGCACTGCTACCAACTCTCAGTGCTCCGCTCACACTTTACTGCGAGTCAATGGTTCCTTCCTGCAAACTGACAGGTACGCAACAACACGCCAGGTAGATATATATATACCAGTATGTATTTAGAAAATGAATTACACATAAGATACAGGCCAATCTATAAAGTTCTGTCAGCAAGGCACAGAGCAACACATCACCACGGTGGGATGGATTCTTAAAACATGATTGGCTTCTCTTTACACTGGTCAATGACATAGGCTGTGAAGCGTTTGAGGAACTTTGGGTACTCCCGTTTGTACACAGCTCGCAGGACTGATGCAGGTGCCCAGCCACCCGGGTTCACTGCAAAGAAGAATAACACAGTCATTTCACACAAAGCTCTGCCAACACTTCAGACCCTTATAGAGACTTAAGTGCAGATGGAAGGATAATATTAAAGTGGATCTTAGAGAAAAGGGGTGAGAGGGCTGTGAGGATGAAGCGTATAAACTTGTTCAGGACTGAACTGGCAGGTTCAGGTACCTGTCACAATGTCTTGCTGAAGTGGTCACGAATACAGAGGTACTCACCAACAGAGCAGTAAGTGATCTTGCATGTGATATTATCACGGACGATTTGGGCTCCATCTTTGGGTGGGTCAATGAATGTCTGGCAAACCAGACACACAGTGAGGGTGACTCGAACAAATTTGCCATTGTTACTCTGCTGGAAGACAAAGACAATATCAGAGAACTGTCAGATGTCAAACCTACATACCTTGAAACATCCTCATGGCATCCTATCCACGTGAGATATGCAAGGTACCTAGGCTGGGGCAGGCAGCTGTCATACTGACAAGACAGGGTAGCCCACCTCAATACTCACAGACCTCCTATCACTCCTCAGCCTCTCATGTCTTTCCTCAGTGGCTCAGCAGTGGGCCACTTCTGCCCATACTGAGGTCACAGAAACAAGTCCTGTGGACTGACACACTCCACATCTGCCTCTAGCTGTCTAGCCATTCTGTTCACAAGAACAGCGACAAGCACTATGTGCTGGTTAGCACATGGCAAATGGAGGTGGAGGGAGGGGGGTACGAAGCCACAAGAATCGTCACCCCCTCCTCAGCACAATGCTGAAGTTTCAAAATTAAAGAGTTTCTCCTCCACGCCATATGTCTTTATGAAATGACGGTTTACTCACCCATTCCTGCTGCTTGGGTCTAAAATACATGGAGGCTTAACTCTAGCCCCTACATACATTTGTGTTGTGCTCCATGCCTGATGCTCCCTACAGTACATTAAAGGATGCCACAGTTTACTTCCTGAAGGTTCAAAATATGGTCACAGGGAAAGTGGTAACACTGAGGTCAGTGAACCTGAGAAAACTCACTGGAAAGTCTGGGTTCTCAGTCGAATGGTTGCAGACGATCCATATATCATGTCCGTCACGGTCGTTGTGATCTGGCACTTGCCGCATGTGTGACCAAAAAAGGGAATCTCTCTGAGATGCAGGCCAGATGCGTTTGTGAACTTGCAGGAAGACCAGCGTGTCTTCTGCTATTGTTTCTATGACGGTCATCTGTTCGACTGTAGCTGCAACACACAACATGCGAAGTATCAGCGATGGAACAACCCCCGTGATACAAAAATGTGGTAAGAGTTTACAATGGGCCGCGCCATAGCTCAAGCGGTTAGTCGCTGGCTTCCCACTTCAGTGGCCTGGGTTCGATCCCGGGTCTTTTCAAGTGGGATTTGTCGTGGACAACGTGGCGCTGGGGCATTTTTTCTCCGAGTACTTCGGTTTACCCTGCCAATGTTCAATCCACCAACTGCTCCACAATCACCCTCACCCATCATCTGGGGCTGGTAAAATATGCCAGAAGTGGCCGCAGTACAAGGGACTTAGTCCCACCCCACTAGCAATAAAAAAAAAGTTTACAATGGACTGAGCCTAAATAAACAGCTCCATTACAAGAGCATCCTGCTCCTAGTGCCTATCCTGAGAGTTTGGTCGCTCTCAGTTTCCCTGGGCACATGCTCAGACAGTACATCAAAATTAGGCAACAACTTCTTTCGTTCACTTCCTTTCCAATTCATGATTTACTGATCACCCTACTAGTCACTGCTACAGTACATTTCGCTGAGACATCCACAAACTTCTACCAGACCACTCAGCATCACACTTTCAAGGGTTGGTATCACTTACTTTCCCAATCCATGCGGACGTCTGGTGAGAAGAAGTAGTGACACATCTCATGTCCCGTCACGCCACGCACCATGTGACACGCCTTCAGGGGGTCCACCACCATGCCATTGACTTCCTCCTCTCGCTTGTACATCTTCATCTCGCCATCTTCTGCGAACAGTTGCCAACCTCCCTCCCCTACCCCAAGGCGGGCATATCGCAGCTGTTCCATGGAAATTCGGTCAATCTGAAACATGCAAACCATCGATCTGGTCAACATCACTGGTTATGCTGAATCGCATGGTAGGTGGAAGGAATCAGCTGTCACCTAGCAACTGGCGAGAGGGGCTGCTCTTCCGACAGAGATACCCAAACACAGCGCAACACCAGTTCATGTTCTTTAGTTTAATGTTCAGTTTCAATGGCCCTTATTGTGACATTTCCTCCAATTAAGATTTTCCCCAATTCACTGCTAAAGCCACTGGTACTATGTACTATGGACAGGTGCCAGCTGCTTCACTGTGACGGTCCTGTCCACAGGAGCATGTTGGATGCAGCAATAAGGAGTCAGTGGCTATTCCAACTCAAGAGTTTCTTCGAGTCTCTCTGCACAAATGTCACCTCTTCCTTCCAATTCCTTCTGCACTCACCTTGTCACTTCATATGACACTGCAGTGTAAACAGCATCATTAAATAATATAAGAATTAACCAGCCACTCCTAAGCAGTGTCTTTATCTCACAGATCCACCAACCGCCCTGAGTATTCACTGTGTAGACAACCATTCAACGTACAAGAATCTCTGGGTAACGGAACGCGTTCATCAGCAACAACAAAGGCAGGGACACAGACTGTACACTGTGTGAGTTCGCACTGTTGTGTACATCAATACTGAGCCTCTAAGAACAATGCTAACTATATGTACCATCTGCTTTAATATTACAAAACTCTACGTCTTGTTGACACTGCGCACTTGTGTGTTTTGTATGATACAATGACTAGTCATTGCTTCCCTAAACACTATTAACCGGTCAGTTCTTGCAATGGGTATACAGGGGCATTTTCTGTCAGGAAGGTAAGGAACCGCGTAATGTGGCACGCAGACCCGTTACTAGCCAATGACTGTGAAACAAGCAACTATACAAGAGCCACTGCTAATGGCTCCGCAAACAAGGTTTCGACAGCAATGAGGGAACACAGTAATAATGGAAAAGAAATTTTCTTTGCGTCTGTGCCGAGGTGTTATAAGCAGGGCCACTTATCAGTTGCAGTCAGAGACTTACTGGGGTTCAATCGTTGTGAGCTGTTGCTGTGAGAAGCTAGTAGCTGAGGTGCAGGGACAATTCGGGAACCCAGAGGAAGGGGAATGTCCACCGCTGGAAACCACAATCACGCAACGGCAATGAAGACATAACTGCGGATGCTAGTGCATGTGTAGTGTAGTCACACACTATATCACAAAGTGAGCAATAAATCAAGTGAGCAACCCAAAACCCATCTACAGTCACTCCAACCAACACAATCTTTACACCTCACCTCTGGCCACAGACGGTGCTGACATGCCTTGGACAGTGCCTTCCCAGGCCCCGCTACTATCTGTTGCTGCTGCTGCTGTTTTGTTTTCAGCCTGTCATGCAGCTCCAGCTCCTCGTCCATCCTGTCGAGGCCTGTCTCCACTGCATCATAGAACTCTTCATCATTGAGAGCACTGTGCGGCCCCTCCTGCAACAATCGCATTCCACATTCTGTTAGGGCACAAACTTCCAAGAGGACCTCACAAAACCTACTCTCTGACTGCATACATTTCTAGTCTTACATATCTGTTGCTCTGTTGTTATTGTTATTTCATTTTGTGAATAACTTAATACAAGATGAAGTGACCGGAGGTTGGAGAAAACTGCATAATCAGGAGTTTCACAACTTGTACAATTTGCCAAGTATAATAATTAGAATGAGCTAGTCAATGATGATGAGATGGGCAGGGTATGTAGCACACACTGGGGAGAAGAGGAATGCATGCAGGCTATGGGGGAGTGAATGTATAGATCCATGTTTTCTTCACTTTGGCACTAGTTTCAGGTGATGTGGAGAAGAGAAAAGTCTTGCCTCAACCAGGACTCCAACCCCTAGTTGCAATACCAACTGCACTATTGTGGCACCACATACAAGACAGTAGTACTCTTAATGGTTATTGTCATGAGAACCTCAAATCCCTGTCAGTACTTCTGCTTGTTTCAGGATAAAATACCTACAAGTGTGTGTTCATATTTCATCAACAAATGAAGACTCAACACTTCAGTAATGTGCTGTAGGCCTCCAGATGACAACTTCTGTGAGACAACAAAGGAACATCGCACACAAACCTCATAGTCTGGACTGCCATGCATTGCCAGCCTGTGTGTTGCTGCTTCCTGGCGTGCCGTCCGGTACATCTCCTCCACCTTACGCCTTCGATCAACCTCCCGTTCAAGTCGCCGCCTCCACGTGTCCTCTCGCTGTCCTAGCAGTTCCAGACAGTGCTGCAGGGTGGCCAATACGCCCGCTGTTGTAGCTTTGAATGTCATAGCTTCCCCTTTGAAGTCGATGGCATGGGCTCCATGCTGCATTGCTATGTCTGACCCAACAATGCAGTTCAGGCAATTGCCACTCTCACAGCAAGGTGGCAGCCCTGAAATAGGCCTCATGAGCATTCTTTCAAAATGGTCATATGTTTTATGCCCTCGTTATGACCTTTATATTAATCATCCACACTGACAGCCAAAACTGGCCCTAGAGGGTGCTTACTAAATCTCAGGAAAGGGTTTTGTGGCAGCTGTGCTGGACCCATGGGTCCATAACAAAAGTAAACTTCATAAGACAAGAAGATGACCATGGAATTAGCCACACAGATGGACGCATATATAAAATATGAGGTTGGTGTTTTTCCGCCTTGAAGAGGAAGACATGTACTTCTGAAACACCTATATCCATTAATCAAACTACAAGGTGTCACACCTTAGAGGAACATGGACTCCACGAATCCTCAGTGACATAGGGCCATGAGCAAGCTAGTGTCCAAGGCCGTGCCATAGCGTTGCCAGCTTCCCACCGTGGCAGCCCGGGTTCAATCCCGGATCTGGTCAAGTGGGATCTGTGGTGGACAAAGTGTTGCTGGGGCAGGTTTTCTCCAAGTACTTCGGTTTCCCCTGCCAATCTTCCATTCCACCAATTGCTCCACAATCACCCTCACCCTCACCCATCACCTGGGGCTGGTACAATAGGCCAGAAGTGGCCGCAGTACAGGGACTTAGTCCCACCGCACTATATATATATATATATATAGAGAGAGAGAGAGAGAGAGAAACAACTAGTGTCCAAATAAACAGAATAAGCAAGCCACAGTTCAGGGTAAGTCACTTGAGCCCAAAATACTAATAACAAAGGCATCTTGCCCCTAAGACCACCAGCTACTCTGTTCTTCATAAAGTGAATCAGTGCCCATACAGTGGGACACTATCTGACACAATAGAGACATACACCATCTCCATGACTTGCTAAATGTGCCTCACCTTTATCCTTGTGCTTGCCACCAACAGCTGTCATCCCTTCAAGTTCATCTTGCAGTCCTGCCAACATAAAATGAAAAGAGGAGACATGACACTGACATTCCTGTCAGTATAATTACTGGCTGCTTGCTACCTGCTTCATGCTGGTTTCTTGCTTCGTTTATTCCTTAACCCTGATGATGAAACTGATAAGTTCCTCCAAAACTTCATTTGGTTGACTTTCAATGGACTACATGGAGCTACATCCTAGAACCACAGCTGTGAGAACCTCAGAAACTTCATTTCTATTTACAATTAATTCTGATCTTTTGTTGAAAAACTGAAGCATCTGCTTATGCGTTGGTTGCACTATTACAACTGAGAACACGGCCTCAGCTGCCTGATCGATTATAGTTCAATGCAACACACATCTGAGAAGTCTAACTAAACACACTAACTGCATGGAGCCGAGCCCTTCTGGAGAAGCCTCCAGTTGTGCAGCTATTCAAGAAATTCCCAGCATTTTATGTTGAACCCAAAGATTCCTTACCACATTCACAAGAGTCCTCCACTGGTCCCTATCCTGAGCCAGATCAATCCAGTCCGTACCACCCCATCCTGTCTCTCTAAGATCCATTTTAATGCAATTCCTAGTGGTCTCTTTACCTCTGACTTTCCCACCGATATCCTATATGCATACTTCCTCTCCACCATTCGTGCTACATGCCCTTCCTAGCTCATCCTCCTTGATCATTCTAATTATACTTGGCAAAGAGTACAAGTTATGAAGCTCCTCATTACACACTTTTCTCCAACCTCCTGTCACTTCATCCCTCAGTCAAAATATGCAAATGTACATTTGAGATCTTGGTTTATCATGGCAGTGATTGTGAGGACTAATGAATGACTTTTGGGATGTGACACTTTGTAGTCTGGTACAGTAGCCTAGTTCATGGTGCAGAACCTTTAAGTGACCAGGAGCACACTCACGCACAGAACTATTCACACACAACACCAATCAGTAGTTCAATGGGATTTCGTTATTAACTGCCCTAATAGTGATACAGATTCACAGCAGTAGTCAAATGTAAGGGAATATAGGATATTGGTGGAAAAGTCAGAATGAAAGAGGCCACTGGGAAGACCAAGGCATAGGTGGGTGGACAATATTAAAATGGGTCTTAGAGAGATAGCATAGGATGATGTGGATAGGATTGATCTGGCTCAGGATATAGACCAGTGGAGGGCTCTTATGAACACGGTAATGAACCTTTGGGTTCCATAAAATGCTGGGTAGATGAAGAATTGGTAGCTCCTCAAGAAGGGCTCAGCTCCCTGAGTAAGTAAGTAAGTCAAATGTAAGGGTATCACTTCGGATCACCCGTTTACTGAGGCCTAATGGTCACAACAGTTTGAAAAGAACAAAACCAACAAGTGGTACAAGATATGCCTGGTATGTGAAATTTTCAGAGTGTTCCAGCCAGCGTCTGCCAAATTTACAAAAATTCTGGCGAAAGACATTCCACTTCAGATTTTGATTGGCTGGACTGGACAAGCTGGGAGGCTGCTTAACTTAGCTCCTCCAATTGGAAAAAATCAAATGGCTAGGGTTTTAGTAGTGAATTCTGCCACCTGCTGCAACGAATCTGTCAAATGAAAACGTGGGGAGCCGTGTATCCAGAAAGCCCCTGCTAAAATTACAACTTCCACATCTATCAAAGTCTGGGATTTCAAAAATACCTGTTTCCATGTTTCCCAGCTCAGACTGATTTACTGTGTACAGCTGCCCCATCTTCATTCAGGCCACATAAGAAACCAGCAAGCTACAAGTAGCACACAAGCAGCTGAGTGATGGAGTGCAGACAAATTTCATATTCTCATATGAGACAGGAGAAAAACATGTGGGCGTCTGTCATATGCTGTTGTATGTGATTTCTCTTAAAGGTCAAGAAATGTTATTTCTTACTGAAAACTGTCACAACATAACATCAATAACACTTGTAAGCAACTACCTTTGCTACATGTTTCAGCCTTCTATAGGGCCATCATCAGGCAAATACATTAAACCTTTCGTTATTGAATTGCATGTTAAATATGAGTCACAGTGCTAAACTTCCAAGAATATTCAATGGTATAATATGATATGAGTGAATACAAATATAAATTACAATAAAAGTTAAAATTTTAATTGATCAGTTACATAGTCAAAAGTATAGTTAAAAAAAATTGTATATGTGATGGTACTTGGAAGTTCGTAGTTGCAATCGTAATACATGTAATACTTATACGGACATATTATATACACAATAGCTGATATGGTGTTCGGAGGCCCGTTGTTATGTTGTATGTTATTGCTTAATATTTGATACTATTTAACGGGCGACTCAGTTGTGTAAATGTTCAATCTGATTGAGAGATACTGCATCACACATGGCCAACAAAAAAGGTAATACTGTTGTGCTGTGGTTTACAGCACCAGTAAAACCTTTAGTCATCCTGGCCTCTGCCTGCCTGGGTATGCTGAAGGATAAGGCAGTCCTGTGGACTGACCTACAGACCTAGGTAGAGCAAATGCTGAGTCGAACACAAAAATTGGTTCTACTTACTTCCTCTTTTTCATTACAGCCAATAATATGAGAGTTACTTATTATGTAATATGTTCAATAGTAAACACACTGTTCCCAAACTGTCACAGTTACAACAAACATCACTGCCAAACCAGCATGTTATCAACAATACAAGTCTGCGAACCCACTCACCTGTGTTGCGCCTCAGAGAAGATGCTTCAGCACAAGTATCAAAGTAACCTTGCAATGTTTCAATCTGATGACATAAGATGTCTCTGAATGTTTCCATCTCTGCAAGCTTCTCCTTGAGACCTGAAGCAATGAGCAAAATGTATGTAATGGCTGTACGCTTGTCAGAACTAAGTTAAATATGTCACAGTACCAAGTAAGTATGCCAACGCACCTCTACCTTTCTTGAAACTTGAAGTTGAAGCGGTGGACAAGGTATTGGATGTAAGGGAGATGGCACTACCATGACGTTTAAGGTTATTTTCACTACCATAGCCTGATTCAGTCTGCAAAATAAAAAAATAGCACACATGAAAATTATTATTGTAGCACAAATTTAACGACCCTGTTACGCCATGTTTAACATGGCGGATTGTGGGGAGAGCTGTATTAACCGCGCTACAGTATTAATTACTAATAATGATGAACCGAGTGAAGTAACGTGTATTTGCTGTGCAGAGCTAGAATTGGAATTGGAAAGGACTCGAATTGAACTCAGATCAACTCAAAAAATAGTTGAGTTGCTACAGGAAGAGATACGTAGTATGGAATTAGAGGTTATGAGCGGCACAGTCGGTGGACGTAAGCAAGACAGCAGAAGTGTCTTCCGTAATGAGGGATATAAATTGACACATCAAAGACTGCAACAAAGTGAAACTACAGAAGAAGAAAAAGTTAAGTGTAATACGGCTCATCAATTTAAGACATACTATCAAGAGGTTAATGATGACCTATTATGCGACCAAAGTGTTAATTCTATTCCAACTATTGTTAATGGACATTTAAACTCCAATAATCTGTCTCCTGCAAGTGACAATATTACTATTAAGGAGAGTCGTGCTAGAAAACTAGTGATAGAATCGGAAGTGAAAATGAGTGAAAATAAAACCAAAGACATAGGAGGTCTCAAGCATAAGAAGCGGGAGTTAACAGCTGGACAACCTATATTGGTAGTAAGTAATCGCTATCAACCTCTTAGCACTTGTACTGACTGTGATTCTGAAAGTAGATTTTTAACGTATGAACAAAATGGTCGTGTGATAAAACAACAGCAAAGGAAAGTAAGACAAAGGTAAGAATTTTAATAGTGGGAGATAGCCATACCAAAGGAATGGCAGCTGAACTGCAACATAACCTTGATAAGAATTATGAAGTACAAGGACTAGTGAAGTCGGGTGCAGATCTGGAAGTGATTTTGCGCTCCAATATGAAGGAATGTAAGAAATTAACCAAAGAGGATATCTTAATTATTTGGGGTGGAACTAGAGATGTGAGTAAAAATGAATCTCAAAAGGGCCTGTTAGGCATCCGTAAATTCATACAAACGAATCTCAATACGAATGTCTTTGTCTTGAACTTGCCTAAGAGATGGGACCTGGAAGACCAGTCGTGTGTAAATAAAGAAATCTCGCAATTCAATAGGAAATTAAGTAAATACTTGAAACCGTTTGATCATGCGCGCTACATTGAGGTTAAGTGTGACAGGAAATGTCACACCAGACATGGCCTGCATTTGAATGCAAGAGGAAAGGAGTACATAGCCAAACAGTTAGTGATGTTTATAAAAGTGCAACCAAATAGAATGGAACAGATTGTTTTACCCTTACATTGGAAGAAGACTCAGAGGCAGGATGGGATAAAGACAAGTAGGGAACCCACTAATTCTGGAAAACATCTAGCAATCTCTTCTGGGGAGGCAGATAAACAGCAGGGAAAGACACCCACTACGTTGCCAAGCAAGCGACAAAGAAGACCACCAGCAAGTAGATATGATGATTTTTTATGGTAACGGCATCTAACCAAAGTAGCTGGGATGAGTCACAAAGTAACTTTAAACTTATTCAGACTAACCATAATACATTAAATGTATTTCACCAAAACATAAGAGGACTGCAACACAAAATCGATGAATTAACTTGTATGCTGCACAGTTTTGATTTAAGTCCGCACATTATTTGTATTACAGAGCATTATTTAGTTGAGCCGAAATTATTGATGATAAAACCTGAGAATTACTACCTGGCCTCCAATTTTTCACGTCAACTCAATACTGGAGGTGGTGTATGCATCTATTGTAAATCAGATTTGACATGTAATGTAGTGGACATTTCCAAATATTGTATAGAAAAGGTTATAGAGGCCTGTGCAATACAGATAAAAACTGGTAATATTACCTTTATATTTTTATGTATTTATAGATCTCCCAGTGGGGATATTCAAGTATTTATTAATCAACTGGAAGTAATTATGAAGCTCTTATACAAGCCAAAGCTTGAAATTATAATATGTGGAGATTTTAATGTCAACTTTCTAAGTAACTCAAATAATGTTCACCAGGTAATCTCACTTTTGCAAACGTATAACTTGTGCCATGTTGTTGACTTCCCTACAAGGATAGCTAAAGTGTCAAGTACTGCTATAGACAATATTTTTTTGGACTATAATAGATTAAATACCTTCCATGTGTGCTCTGTAAACAATGGGCTTTCTGATCATGACGCACAATATCTAGTGGTAAATAATGTTTTTGGAACTCAAATGAAAAAGAATAGACTTGTTAGGAAAAGACTATTAACCAAGTCTAGAGTCTTAAATTTTATTGACATGTTGCAAAATGAGAAATGGGACAATACCCTCAGTAACACAGATGTTAATGCTAGTTTCAATACATTCTTGAATACTTTCTTAGTTATTTTTGAATCGTGTTTTCCAATGCAATTAGTGGTAAATGCTGCATACAATAATCAGTGGATTACTAATGGTATTAGAGTGTCTTGTAGACGAAAAAAATCTCTCTTTATAATGTGCAGAGCTACTAGTCATCCTCAATTAAAAGAGTATTATACTCGATATTGTGCCATATTAAAAAGAGTCATTAGTAAAGCAAAAGAACTGTACTATAACAAATTGTTATCTGAATGTACCAACAAATCCAAGGTATCCTGGAAAATTATTAATAATGAAGTAGGTCATGCATCCAAAAAGAAGTTTATTCCATCAGAATTAAGAAGTGATAATAAAAAAATACACATCAATAAAGCAGCGGAGTCTTTTAATACATTCTTTATAAACTCAGTGGAAAAGCTAATTAGCCAGTATCCTATATATGAAGGTGTACATCCTATAATTAGAAAGAGCCTTCTTGATAAGTTTCCTGAAATAGCTAATATTCCAATTACCTTAACTGAAGTCTTAAGCACAATCTCTTCACTAAAGAATAAGACTTCCTGTGGATACGATGGGCTGTCCAATAAAATTATCAAGTTATGCGGTGAGCAGATAGCTAAACCACTCACCTATATCTATAACTTATCCTTATATACTGGAATATACCCAGATCGGCTAAAATATGCCAACATCATACCATGTTTTAAAAAGGGTGATGCATCCGAAATATCTAACTATAGGCCTATTTCTCTGTTGACAGGATTTTCCAAATTATTTGAAATATTAGTCTTTAATAGGTTAAAACAACAGTTGACAAATAATAATATTATTGTTGATGAGCAATATGGATTTAGAAATGGTGCATCGACACAAAATGCAATTTTTAACTTAACAAACTCAGTATATAAAGCATGGAATAATAAGGAACTGGTAGTAGGTATTTTTTGTGACCTTACAAGGGCATTTGATTGCGTTAACCATGACTTGTTAATTCAAAAGTTGGAACATTATGGAATTAGAGGATCCATTTTGAAATGGTTTGAATCATACTTATTTAACAGGAAGCAGAGAACTCTATTACAGACTCAAAACCTTAACACTTCTGTTTCCAGATGGTTAACTAGCAGGCATGGTGTTCCCCAGGGCTCAGTATTGGGTCCATTACTGTTTAATGTCTACATCAATGACTTTCCTAGTATCCTAAAAGGTCTAGCTCATATCATTCTTTACGCAGATGATACCACTATTATTGTTTCTTCAAAAGATATTACCACATTGAATCAAAAAATAAATCTAATAATGAATCGTATCCATAAATGGTTTCAAAATAACCAACTAGTACTTAATCTGGACAAAACGCATGTAATTAAATTTGCCACTCCTAAGGCTTTAGACTATCCACTACATATAGAATATAATGATCAAAATCTTAATATTGATGAAAATGTTAAGTTCTTGGGTATGTGCCTTGACTCTCATCTCAATTGGAAACAATATTCGATTAGTTTAATAAAAAAATTATGCATTGCAATTTACATGCTTAGAAAATTGCAACCCATTGTGAATGGACAAGTTTTACGTATCGTCTATTTTTCCCATGTTCAGGCTCAACTCAATTACGGAATTATTTTCTGGGGCTCATCTTCATCAATGAAAAGCATATTTGTGGCCCAAAAAAGAGCAATAAGAGTTTTGTTAAGGCTGGGTCCTAGAGATTCATGTAGGGAAGGCTTTAAGAAATTGGGTATACTTACAGTCCCCTGCTTATATATATATACTATGATATTGTTTGTAATTAAAAATTATAATATGTACCAAGCAAACGATAACATACATCAAATAAGTACCAGATGGCACAATAGGCTACATGTTTCTTCTGTGAGATTATCTTCCATTCAGAAGGGTGTGCATTTTACATCTATTAGAATATTTAACAACCTGCCACAAAACATATATATCTTGAAAGACAATATTAATATTTTTAAACAAAGACTAAAGGATTTTCTGGCTTCAAAAGCATTTTACTCGGTAGGTGAATATATGGCAAGTAGGTAATTTTATGCACTGTTACAGTCTGTTTTCTAAGACTATGTTCTAGCAAGAATTGTAAGATGATTGATTTTATTCTGTTGTACCTATCAATGTTACAATTGTTGAATATTTTATTGTCTAGACCAGGTTGCACATTGCAATGTCAGTTTGGCTGTGACGAGTTCAAAATCCAGTCCAGTATCCGGACAAGTTCGGTGTGAAACCATGTAGCTATGTATGTATGTATGTATGTATGTGTGTACGATACAAACACACATACACATTACTTCTCTAAAAATCATGTTTATTTCACCTTATATGCATCCAGTACATCAACCCATTGCTGTTTTTCCTCAGGAGTCTCTGCTCTCAGGTACCATACACAATCATTTACAGAAACATCAAATCTACATTCATCAAAATCATGGGGCTGAAAGAAAGAGAAAATCTTTACTCATATTATTTGAATAGCGCTGGTGCTGCAAATCAACCAAACTGAAACATGGCAGTTACCTTTACAGTCGCTTTAAATAAACTGATTGCTCCTCTACAGCCAAAACCGGTATCTTGCTCTGACTTATAATATGAAAGAGTTCCATCTTTCAGCACAATGAATCGACTTTGCCAACCATGAATGTAATTAGTCCATTTACTGAGAACTCCTTGCAACTCTGGAACCTGGTATCCATTTTCGGAATCGTCATCCTCATCGCTGAAGATGAGGCCATGTTCATCCATTATTTCTCTTGAAATGCCCAGAGTCATTCACAGCACAATTAACAATTCAACGAATCCGGACTATGATTGTGACACTTGACGTGTTAATACTTGCGTGTTAAATCACATCCCATGACAAACCGCCATATTCTCTGTTATTGACACATATTAGTCACTAGAGGTGGTGTCTTATGTTCACATATGGTTACTCCCGGTTACAGACCTTTGAATGTTGTTAATTGAAGATGACACAACAGAAATTATTTTGTTTGTGCAATCAAATTCTCCACAAATAAGAATATCTAAATAATTCTAAATTGTAATCAGCAGTAAAAAATTGTAACTATTGTAATTTTAATCTACTTATATATCAAATTGTTAATATTCAGAATTAACTTGACTTGTCATATATCATGTACAATGATCTACAGTGACGAAATAAATAAATCAATCAATCAATCTAAAAGATTATCTGTCAATCCAATTAAATATATTATTTCAATAAGTAAATGTGTACAGATACTATAGTATCTATACTCTTAATCCGTGCATGAACAGAATTAATGTTGTAACCTATAGGATCGAGGGCACGCCAAGGAAACGCAACCGCAACGCATCTACAATTCCCGAGAATTGTTATCAGCCTGGCCATATTATTGAAGCAGGGCAAATTGAGTAAACGACAACGCAACTCGCGGAAAGACTGAGAAACTAACTTCCAGGCAACGGAGCATGCTAGTCATCTCACAATTGTTTTGCCGCGTTGTTTACATAGGCGATTGTCAATAAACCGCCAGTCGTAAAATAACTCTGACTCTGACTCTGCCTAGAATTTCCGGTGCTTTTGCAGGCGTTATCAGAATTATCAATATAATATTTCACAAAATCTGAATTGTTCGTTGTTCAGAGATACTGGTCAATTTTGGCTTGTTGGCTATTGTTTAACATTGTTGCTGATTCGAAAATACAAATATTCACGTTTATAGTTTTTAGCAGTTATATAATATATTTGAAATTCAAAATAAATTGTCAAGAAGAATAATTATACACACCGCAGCAAACCTGAGATAACGTTCGCGCACACGTCAGAATTACGAATCACGTTAGAATTCAGCGCCGTTAGTACCTAAGACGTTGTTGCTCTGAAACGCTTTGAAATTTGCATGGTTGATGAGGGTTGATGACAGTTGGTTGTTTGATTGGACGTATGCAATAGGGAACGATAGGGAATGGGTATATGGTGGATTGTATCATGTTAATTCGTGGTAATTACGGCCGTACACTATATTGTCATATACACAAACCCTAACTAAAGCACTATCCTAACCTAAACTAATGAAATCAACGTTGGTGCTGAATGGGTCTCAGAGGAGTAATGTTCTAGCATAAAATTCGCCGTATTGGCACAACAGAATTATATATTTGCGTATAAATTCTTAGTGTACAAACCACCATAATTATAAACCCGACCTTTTGGCATACGTTTTTATTCGTTAGATGTCACATTTATTGCTTTTTTATTTGTATTTTAAATTATTCTCAGGTTATGCAAGGAGAAAGAAGTGAAACAACATTTGATGGAAGCAGTCAAGCAGTTGATGACTTTAATGTTACAGCCAAAGAGGATAAGAAAATCGTTACATTACGAAACATATTAGATAAAGATCGAAAAGGAGCAGATCTGAAATTGAGTTTGTTTGTTGCTGCATGTCGAAGCTACAGATACGACTCGTGTTTGAAACCATTTCCACCTGAGTTCATCAATAATGGCCTTAAAGACATAGAATATTTGGTATGTAACATAATATTTATGATCCATTAGCTGAATTGTGCACACATGAAACCGCAGATACTAGAACAGCAAAGTATTGTCAAGATCACAGTAAAGTTTGCATTTACATTTCTTCCAAGGCTTCACAAGTGTATATGAAGTAAAATTACAGTGATTAACTCTGACAGCAGTGGATGTCTCTTGATTGCTCTAATGGAATTTCATGACATTATATCCTGTTAGGGAGCCTTATTGTGTTGGCCCGTAACTACTGTCGGCTGAAAGACCAGATTTTTGAGGATCAGTTATGGGATGGACTTTACTTCCCTTGATGGTAGGGTGATAGCTTCCACAGATATACAATTGAATGAGGCCTGATTTCCACACAGCCACAAAGTTTCATTGTTGTCACAGGGAAGGGCATGCAAGAAAGTCTACTTTGAACGCGGCTGATCTTGAAGCAAAGACGTTTGAGCATAGGACCAGCAGGTTCTCCCTGAATTTAATGTTGGTTTTGTAGGAGCAAGTTAAGTAAGATGTTATGCATGTTGTTCATCTGAAGTAGATTATTTTCTTGCTCTAGCTTGAGGTCATTGACAAGATGCCCACATTGACGCAGCTGGTGCAAGAGCTTTACGACCCAGATGTGTATCAGAAAATTGGGCTGGTGATTGATCTGCTCCATTGGCTTCTGGTGGAACTCAAAGACATCCAGATCAAATCCGTGCCAAAATCAGAGGTAATGCCAGTAGAATGGCACAGTGTTTGGTACCAACAGCATGACAGTTAGGAGGGTGATAGTGTAAATTTGGGCTGCCAATGGTAGCTGTCTCCTATAGTCTGACAGTACAGTAGTAATGATAAACTTTGTCAAAAATGTCTGTGAGGGTATGTCGTACCTTGAGTAGACAATATTATGAAAGAAGAATCTTGTGTGTTCAATCAGATATCCAGTGCAGTGATTTTGGTTCCTGTTATGTGTTGAAAATAGAATCTAGAAAGTGTGTAATAATGATATAACAATCTGTGTTTCAATCTGATGATGACACACCCTCAAAGATATTTTATAATATAACAATAAAAGGTAATTGGTTGTATGTGCAGTTTGGTGCAATAATGGGGTGTGTGCACTGTGAGACTGCAGCCCCAGCACCAAACCTGATCTTCCAGCTGGTTGGTAACCCTTGTGGCACCAACGAGATGAGGTGGAAGGAAGTTTCCAGAGGCCACAAGACACTGTATGCCTTTCATGGCAGTCGCCTCGACAACTTCCACTCCATCCTGCATTACGGCCTGCAGAAACACTTCAGCAAGGTTAGCCTCTGTCCCATGTTTGAGTTAGCAAAACCTGAGCATTATATGGTAGGCAAACTGATCCATTCTATGCCTCTGGCAATGTCTGTGCAGAACTCTCTGTTTGGCCACGGGATCTACTTGTCCAGTGAACTGAGCGTGAGTCTGCCGTACAGTCCCATGGGATATGGCTGGCGGTGGAGCACTGTGGGTAGAGAGATGAGCTGCGTTGCACTCTGTGAGGTTGTTGACCACCCAGATGTAAAGTATCAGGACAAAGGCAAGGAATGACATCTGCAAGCTCTGGACCTCAGAAGGATGACTGGAGAAAGTGTTGTAATGTACAGCTTCATAACTTGGGGTTTTCAGGTGCTAAGGGCAGTTAAATCAAGAAGGATGAGATGATAGGAATGAGAAATGCATACAAAATTTTGATTGATACACCAGAAAACTTTTGGCAGATGTAGGCAGAGATGGGAGGACCATGTTGCAGTAGATCTTAAAGAAAAGAATGTGTGAAAATTTGGCTGGATTCGCTTGGCTGAGGATAGGGACTGTGGAATTTTGTTAACAGGGCAATGAGCCTTCAGGTTTCAGTTCAAATTTCTCAGCCAGCTGAACAACTCGGTTACAGGCAGACCCTGCATCAGGGACTTCATTGGTTACCTTCCTTTTTTTTCACATGTCCCTCCATTTGTATTGCAGAGTCGGCCAGGTCTCGATCCATGGCTATGGACAGCATGGGAGGAGAAGTGCCAGACAAGTACTATGTTGTCCTGAACAGTGATTTGGTGAAAGTGCGCTACTTGCTGGTGTACAACAGGAACTTGCCACAGGCTAGGTGAGTTCCATTTGCATTCCCATTGTACATACGTAATGTTCTCAACTCATGTCAACCAATAGAATACGGAAACGTTTGCAGGTCCGAGGGCTCCGGATCGTGGCTAAGGTGGATGGGGAGACACAAGCTGCTGACATTCATGTTGTGCTATGTGGTGCTGCTTGTCTCCGTGGGGCTGTCCAGCAGTCAGCTGGCTCAGCAGTTCTACCATCTCGTGCTGAAGCGCACAGGCCTCTAAAGCATTTCCTATTACCAAATGTGATATATTTTTATAAGACAATCCAAATGGATTTTAGACACAAAGTTGAATTTGCATTTATATGATTGTCACATTCCTCTTTATTTATCTGCGGTTCATCTGCTACAGAACCAATAAATCAACAACTTTAATAGATTTTGGTTCATGTCCCTATTATCCCTTCAGGGTTTAGAGACATCATTGCCTGAGTACTGCAATGTTTTGTCTCCACTTTTGGCAAAAATGAGATAATTCATTTTCAAATTATTTGTATCATGTTGCTTTGTCTATATACACTTTCATAGATTGACCGTACTGACTAGTGTGAGATTTCAGAATTATTTTGTTCTAAGCCACATTTAAACCACAGCTGATTCCCTAACTTCAAATCCAGTATCCCGGAAACTGATGCTGATGTGTAGTACACTCCAGTACTCTCTCAGGTGATAACATCCTATGTGCTCAGTTTGTTAATGTTATACTAGAGAGTGAGCTAGTTAGCTCAGTCACTGTAGTGATTATTAGGCTGTTGGTTGGATGACTGCAGAATTAGGATTCAGTTCTGTGGCACGGAGATTTTGTTTGAACCTATGCATCCAGACAGGCACCAGGGTCCACCAAGCCTTGCTTTTCCCAGGGGTAAATAACTATTTAGAATCTGGATGATGGACAAATTCTGAAAATCCAGTATCTCTGCACATTTCAACTGCTTTACCCCTGGGAAAAGGCTTGGTGGACCCTGGTGTCTGTCTGGATGCAAACAAAATCTACAAAAATAACTATTTAGATTCTAGATGATGGACAAAGTCCGAAAACCCAGTATCTCTGTGTGTTATACACCATCATCAGAACCCTGTAGTATCTAGTTGGAATGGGCATTAACCACTCACCTCCATTAAAACAACTACAGACAAAGACATCAGCTTGTTAATCAATCAGTATTGCCTTTCTGTCAGTGACAGAGAAGAGGCTGATGCCTGAATTCAACAGTACATCTAACGTAACCTAACCTAACCTAACCTGTGTGAGTCAATCTTCACCGCCACTGTGCCACCTGCGTTGGCAAACATCAGTTGCAGCTGCTGGAGTGTGGTCATCGACTGGAGAAGTTGAATGTCCTTACCAGTCCCCACTAAGCAGGGTGTTCTGTTACAGTTTACATCTGAATTATGTCAACAAGCAGAATCTTGGGCAGAAGGAAACAGCTCATTCTGACATCCAAAAATATTTATTTATTATACAGTATACACAATTTTTAAAAGTTATACAGATGATTGTAGTTCTTGTGCATATAGACAGAGGGCACACTGTGCAGTACATGCAATAAATATAGAAATTCATTAAGTACACACTGCTGTTGGAATGTTTACAGTACTGGGTTCCTCACTTCCCACCCCCACATTTGCATTTTGGGAGCCAATACTGTTATGTGGGGTTACATTTTGTAACTGCAGGTTGCACATAACTGCACCAAACAGTTCACACTTGTATGCCTGCCATAGTTTATCTCCTTGTCAAGTTATCTGAAGCCAAGTACATGTGGCAACTACAGCAAAATCCTTATGTGATATTTCTTGATTTAAGTTTAACATCCAATTTACATACTCCAAGTCCTGTGCTCCACCATTTTAAGGTTTTCTGCCTATTGTTCAAACCCATTAATGTGCACTTTAATGCATTTATATCTCAAGTTGTAATTTCAGTGAATAACATTTAAGTTATAGGTAAAGCTGTCCCTGTAACAGGCTGTGAAGGTAACCCCCCACCCCCAGGAAGATTCCTGGTACTCATTTCTATTAGAGGCTGAGTTGACCCCAGGGCCATTGTGCGGCTGGAAGGATTACGTCAATTGAAAAATCCAGTGACTCCATCAGGAATTGAACCTGCAACCTTCTGGCTTGTAGCATAGTGCCACAACCAGCTATGCTATCACGTGCCTGTGGTTTGCAGAATAAACAAAAGTTTTCCACAAACATCAAGTGGCAGAAATATTCAATGTGTTTTTCAGGTTAGAATACAAAATGTATAAGTGTAAATGCCCAGAATTGAGATGACTGGAAAATGCAGAGAATGATTTACATGAGCTGTAAGTTAAGGCATAAAGACAAAGTATAAATAATAGCTTTCTAAGAAGTACTTTGGTCCATGGAGTTAGAAACAAAATTGCAGACGATCTTAATCTTTTAAAATGTAAAGAATGAAATTACATTTTTACTGAAGTTGCCAGGCATTCAGACTCACCTTTTGCCATTTATGTATGATAATTCAAAAGTTTGGACTGTCCCTAGCAATTTAAACAGACGACATGGTGAGGTTCACTTGAGTGAAACCAGGAACAAATCAACCATTTACCGAATCTAAGTTATCATATAAAGCTCCTGACAGTGGGAACCTCAAGTACAATGTACAAGCACCAGTCAGATTTACTGAAATTTTTAACAGTGTACAATAAATGTAAGTTTTGAGGTTTTCACGGCGATGACTATGAAGAAAGTCGTCTTCTGGGTTTTGGCCGACGTTTCGGAGGAACATATCGCCTCCATCATCATTACGCTACTGCTCTCTGCATTCACAAGCCATTCACCTGCTCTGAAGATGGAGGCGATATGTTCCTCCGAAACGTCGGCCAAAACCCAGAAGACGACTTTCTTCAGTGTACAATAAAGTTTACAGAATGAAAGGAACAGAAGATGATACAGCCAAACATAAACAGCAGCAATACTGTGAGGCAGATGCCTAGTTTACATGGGCAGAATCTTGCTCCAGCTCACTTCATGTCAAATGGAGAGACATAGCGATGTAAGCCTTCCACTGGGCACAAGTCACTTGGAGGAACCACAGTTAACAAATAAACTTTGAACAGCCTGTAAGACTGAGCAGGGGCCCAAACCTTATATAACAGCAGTACAAAACACTGTGAGGGCAGGAATTATGCAATGCAAGAAAATGCCAGAACCTTCCATTTTCACACCAGATGTCTCATGACTTAGCATGAGAAAAGTCTGATGCAACTGAAATATTGCAATGGCAACAGTGACTTCCGCCATCGGACTGTTTATGTGAGATGAGGTGCTCACAGTGGTGACTCTGGGCTGTGATACTCTTAATGATCTACCAGTCTATACTGTGTCACACCCCAGAACACAGGAATTGTGACCACAGCAAGCCAACTCCAGGCATTCACCGTTTGCCCCCTGTTCTCTGAGTGCAGTCTGCTATGAAGCTGAGTGATAAAAACACAATATTCATTTTACATACATACATACATACATACACTCAATAAACCAGAAAATTTCTCTGGTCATGTCAATACAGGTTTTCCTACTGATGTTACATTAAGAATTAAATAGAAAACCGTCTGGTTGCATACTTAGTTTTCTGTTCACATAATTTTTTCCTCTATTGTGATTCCCAGGATTCATATGATAGGCACATCCCTACCATAGATGGGAAGGAATGAAGACTCTACAAAATATGTGCAGAATACTGTAATGTACATATCAGAATAGGAAATGGGACACAAAAATATAACTGCTCAGTAACACTGCAATGTATATAAGAAGCATGACTCACAATTAGGACCATATGCAGTTCTATATATATCTAGCTGTAAGTACTTGCATGAGACAGACACTTCACTGAGACGATAAGGCGCCCTGGAAGTGTTTAAGTACAGTACGTGACTCATTGTACCTGAAGGGAGTAATACTCAAGTCATTCCATCAATTCTTACTTTTGTCCTGTCATTTATGAGTAATTCAGTTTTGATAATTTCATTTTGTAAGTTAAAGGAACTGTGTGGCTCAATGAATGGGCACAGTGCTGTTACTGAAGAGTTCAACACAAGGAAACAGATCCTGGTCCAGTGGCCTGAGAACACACTGCAGCAGATCAAACGGCAAGTGCCAGCATTCACATAGCTAAGCTAGGCCAACATGCTCACAGACTCAAAGGGGCTGAGGCCCTGGAGCAAGGGGGAGAGATGAGTGCTGAGTTCATAGTGGCAGGGAAGGAAGGGCAACGAGGTGCAGCAAGCAGGGGGCTATTGAGCTGCTAGGCCTTGCTTAGTGGCTGGGTCTCTCTGACATCCAATAATGTTCACAGGTATGAATGTACAGTTATGAACCAAGCCATGGAACATTTATAGACTTCTGCTCAATTCAGTTGTACTTTTCTTTGTCAGTTGGTCTGGAAGGCAATGAAATAGTCAGACTTCTGAGACAGAGTTACATTATCAATATTCATTTGAACACGACTGGAACTTTCTCTTTGGCCCAAAGCAAAATCATGAGCCTGACACAAGTTCTGATGGCATTTTAACAAAACAAACAGAGGTCTCACAAAGAGCAGATGTGGAGCAAGAAAAGGCTTGTGCTGGCATCTCGCCATTGGATTTCAAGAAAAAGGAACATAAATTTTAAAACACTTTTGCAGGTAACACACAGTTAGGCAAAATATTTGATTTTGTACATTCTCTGCTCCTTCACATGGTCTTTCTTGCAAATGCTGAGTGCAGAAATTCTTGCACAGCCACTGGCAACGGGCTTGCAAAAGGGGGGGGGTACATGCTTGCTCATAACATAATCTTTGGCATCAAGCACCCTGAATCCATATACGCACTCCCCTTCACCTTTCTCACAGCTGCTCGTCTTCTTCCTGCATCTCACACTTCAAGGTTAGGGAAGACACCAAATTGGAGCAGAGACAGATGTTGGACAGGTCTATGTTTGCCCTCTTTCTCTCTGTGCTCCAGCTCACCCACCAGTGCTTGTATGTGAGAAGAAGCAGACTTTGTGGACACCCTGCTACTCACAGAGTACACAGAAAGATTGCTTCTAAGCTAAATTACACTACAGGGTGGTTGTTAAATTCCGGATTAGTCTGGGCGACCATGATCTACTTAAGTACAAGAATCAGTGGGAAAGGGAAATAAACTGGCATTATAGCTGATGCTTAGAGACCAGAGTTCTGTTGCATTTAATTCATATGTATGTTACATAGATGGCACAACAGTGCACAATGTTTTGTTCTTAACACATCCGGTTCTGGTCTTAGGCACAGGGGCTTCTCTTTCTTATGTAGTTTAGGCATTCTTTACAAAGCAAAGCAAAAGTATTATGTAGAGGTAATTTCTGTCTGTCATACTGCCTAAATCCCTTGATATATTTGTTTAAAATTCAATATAGGAGACTTGTACTAAACGTTTCGGAGCAAATCAAATTTTCAGCCATACTGTATGACGATACACAAGTCATATACTTAACAAACCAGAGACAATGCCAGTGGGAATCCTGCATAAGAGGAAGGCAGTTAAGATAAATGTAAAGTTCTCTCTGTGCTCAAAAACAAAGCCAAGGGGTACAGGAGGGAATGAGGGATGTGGTGGGTAGACTTTACAACCACCCTGTGCCAGCACGCTGACACCTCACAGTGTGCTGGCATCCTCATCGGGAATGTTGTTCAGCTCAGAGGCCCAGTAGTAGAATGGAGGTCCATCCGTGAAGCAGTATTTCTTCTGGAGAGGTGAGTCCCGTTCTACCCAGTACATAAGGTAGAAATTGCACATCTCATCGTTATTGGTAAGCCTGCAGAATCATAACACAAACTTTACGCTGCTGCAAATGACAGAATGAGTTAAAGGCTACTAATGTGGATTTCATCCACCTTCCTTGCCGCAGAATTGTGTATACATGTATAATCACTGAAGTCTGTTCATCTATCCCACCATCTCTTTCAAACACAGCATCATAGAAAAACTGGTAAAAATGGAAATGACTCCAGGAAATCTATTAATTTTGTTGCCACATGCATGGGTTTGAGTCCAAGTGGACTCATTTCCCCATTATTTCCTTCATCAAAAAGAGCATTAGATCCTCACAACAACAGCATGACTTCGCTTGTTCTACGGCAACTGATAACAAAATTACCCTGAGGGACTGAGAAGCTTCAAGATGAACACAGCCCAAACACAAGTCTGCAGCATTATTTCTAATGTGTTTCAATGTTAGCTTCTCATTTAGTATACTACTTCACTGAACTGTGCTATTAGCAGTAACAGCATTCTGCAAGCCTGCTGGCAGGTGAGTGACACACAAGGGGATGTACTCACCCTGTGTAGGTGGTGCGGTTACGGGTGCTCTGCATGGTGCAGCGTGCTGCCTGCAACAAGAACGGTTTTATTTACCCACTCATTCACTTAGTACATAGATTTATACAAAAATAAGATAACCTGCCTTTCCAGAAATGCTTGTTCCTGTTTCAAAAAACTGTACAGCTTTCTTTGAACATGATCAAACAGTGCTCCATGCTGTAATATCTGATCAGCAACTACACTGTACTGTCATACAGCGAGAGCAAAGAAACAACAGCCTCACTGTGACGAGGACAGGAACACTGCTGCCATTACTACTGGTGGTGACTTATGAGGTTTGTCAACCTACTGACGCATGCTGCCACATTCACAAATACTGACATAATCTGCTCATTACCATAAATACAGTGTACGTATACACGTGCCCACACATATAAACACTTACTTCATTCAGTTCTCAAAGCAAAAGTAACCTTGGAAGCTTGTGCATGGTGTCTAGTAATTATATTTTAAACGAATGATCAAGATACATGATAATGTGTTGCATATGTCCCTTACAACTTTGTCGCCACGCACAATGGGCTCCTGGTTCTCAACAGGGTAGAACATCTGTGGCGTGAGGGGGTTACGCTTGCCAAGTAGAATCCAGTGGTCGACGCCACTGCTGTCCCTGCGGATGTGGTAGCCTGACACGACCTTGCCTGCAATGACAGGTTGGTGTGTATTTAGGAGCACCACCAATACATTAATAAAATGCAATTACAGGCAGACACTAAGAAACACACATGTAACAAGGCATCTACAATATAGACCTTAAGTCACTCAGATTACAGTAAGGAGTTGGCAGTGCATTTGCACCGTCCCCTCCTGCACTCTTGCACCTCAAATGAAGTGCAGCGCCCCGTAACAGCCATTCTCTAACACTCCAACAAGCCACACCCATGGTAACAATCATGCAACTGTCACTACAATCCGCTGCTCACAGCAACATAACTAAATGCGACTACTCACCGAGGCTGTGTGTGTGTGTACGATATGCAAATGGATGCAACACTTTTTTCTCATTAATCATACAAGATGTTTCCATCTTCTCTACTGACATGGGCTCAATGCTGCCCCCTGTGCCCAACAGGAGGACCCCTGCCTCCTTCTCAAGCCTGCCAACATGACAAAGACATGAAAAACGAAATGCAAGGAGACAGATCATGTGGAAATGGGTTACACAGTATCTGCATATCATTACGTTGTCATCATCGTCAGTCATCGATTAGGTTTAAATCTGTTCTGACTTCAAATTTTGTTCTGACCATCTCTTCCTTGGTCTTCCAGGTGACCTCATTTCTCTAGGATGATACTGTCATTATATGTGTACTGGAGAAAACCCAATTAAAATGATTTAGATTAAATTAGTTCACGTTTCAATTATGTTGCTCTGGGTACCAACATAGTTATATTCTTCCAAAGTGCTGGTAACCATGTACCAGAAAACATGGTGTCATAAACAAGATCACAACTTTAGTCTTCTTGCACAGTGTGAGAAAACTGACTACAGGGTCATCACATTTTTCCGTCTGAAGCTTTGGTATGGAACATCTACAGTAACAGTAGACGTGAGTGCTTAATTAAGTGCCATGCTATGAAGTCACATGAGGGAGTGAATGTATTCTTAATGTCAGCAGTAGACAAGGGTGAGTGGTTACTTTACCCCCAAGGAAAGAGTTCTCAGTACCCACTGGATCCTGCCTATCTCAGCATTTATAGTGCATGTAAATGGTGTAGGAGAAGAAGAAGGAGATGATGGAGTATCGTGCAAGCCTAAGGGTGTCACAACTGGCAACACTTACGGTCTCTCAGTGTAGTGGAGATGTATTCCAGAGTCATCTGTCTTCCCACCTGAAAACAGAAATCATCTGTTATGGCCATCATTCAACGAAACAAGCTTCAAAATTTTCTTTAGTAGACACAGTGCTGCAGTCTGGTGAGCAGTGTACTGCCACAGAGCTAAAACTGGGGAATATGAAAAAGGCAACATTTTCTCTCCACCACTTAGTGAGAGCTCTAAGGTTTCGCCTGGAATAAGCTGTAAGCATTGTGTAGCATATACACTACAACCACACGTTTGCACTGTGTATCAATTCTCAAATTCTTGACATCAAAAATTTCATATGAATGTCTGTCAATTTTATAAGCATCTTCTTTATGGGTTAAAAAGCAGCTGATGGCGACATCACAACTCTTTGGGGATATTCAGGCCAGTGGGTCACACCATAGCTCAAGCGGTTAGTCGCTGGCTTCCCACCGCGGCGGCCCAGGTTCGAATCCAGGTCTGGTCAAGTGGGATTTGTGGTGGACAAAGTGGTGCTGGGGCGGGTTTTCTCCAAGTACTTTGGTTTCCCCTGCTAATCTTCATTCCATAAAATTCTCCATCATCATAATCACCCAGGGCAGGCTACAATAGGCCAATCAGTGGCCGCCGTGCCAAGTGGACCCAGTTGGATTCCACCCCCCACTAAGCGAATTTAATTCAGGCCAGTGCCAAGTAATATAGGATATGTCAAACCCCTGAGCTGAAGGTAAAGTAAATTTCTGAATAATGTGTAGGGTACTGACAGTGATTTCACAAATATGACAAAACTGTTAATTCAAAATTCTCAACAGTAAATGTGCCAAAATTTGGAAACCATGTTTTCAGTTCTTGTAAATTTCCTTTCACTGCTGAGTTATGTAATATCACATGAAATGAGTGTGTATGGTGAACTGGACAGGGTTGAGGAGGAAGTGGTTCTATTTCAGTGCCTCAAGAAGCACCCACAGCAGAAGCTGCCATGTGCGCTCGCTAATTTGTGTGACTCATGAACAGGAACAATGTACAACACTGCTAACCAAACATGCTCTGTGATATTTTTACTGAGAGGAAATGAATGTTATGATGGTATTTTAAAACAAAAGTTGCAATATTATATTTTAGCATCCTGCTGCATTTAAATTTATATTGATATCACTGCATTACAGATGGAAGAAAACTACAACTGGAAAGTTGTGAACTGCATAACAGGAAATGTGCATGACTGATATGTAACACATTTCATATCTTCCTGCAAAGTTCAGTGCATTTCATCAGTGAAAATATGTCATATAGTGATAGATGAAAAATGAACACTGGTTAGATGATAAGGAAAACTTGCATATTTGCACCTTCAAAGGGCTTGCTGGTGGCGTAGTGCACCTGCAGAACAAGGTACTGGATAGGGGACTTGCCCCCAACCTTGAAGCCAACCCCCTCAGGCAGCTCCAGCTCTGGGGCATCTCGTGCCCATGCATATATCACCTGCAACAGCAATGTCATCCTCTTGGTGCAAGGATTATAATCGCCACTGTGAAACTTTGTGAACAACTGCCAAGCTGTATTCAAGAATTAAGTTATTGTGACCAACATTTCCAGCAGAGCAGTATCAATGATAGGGCAAACTTTGTTCATACACACACAAATGTCAATACTAACTGAACAACCCATTTCGCTGATATGATTTTACTCTCATATAACAAGATCACACTAAATCCATGGTAGTAGAACCCACCATTGGACATGATCCTGAGCCAGTTCTGACCACCTACTGTTCTCACATTCTATTTCCCTAAGATTTATCTTAAGATTATCCTCCACTGCTTTATATATCTTCAGAGTGGCTGCTCTGGAACACAGTTCTCTATCCACATGTCTATTCCACCATACATGCTACATATGCAGCCCATCATAAATTCACTAATCCGAATGTTTGTATAAATAAAGCATCAAGGATGTCTACAAATAAGGACACCAGTTAGTTATATTTCCCAGCTCTGAGTTCAGTATTTGTAGCATGAATGTGTCTGGGCAAAGGGGTACTTTACCTGGGACCCCACTGCGCATGGACTTGCCGTTTCTGAGGTGTCAAGCTTCCCTGACATCTCGCCACAGTTCCTGAAAGACAATACACACCACTGTGTCATTATCACCCTTTCCAGTATTGGGTCTGCTGAGACCTGTCAAGGATGTAACAAAACAGAATCATTCCATTTTACCTGAGATCTTCCAGATTTTTTTTGGGGGGGGGGTCTGATATTTAAACACCTCCTCTGGAATCCTGTCAATGTGTTTCTCTTTCAAATTTCTTCTGTACTGTTCTATAAATTCTGTTATTTGTGGAATTTTTAGTTCTGTCACAATTTCTTACTTTCTTTTGCAGACTGTGAGGCTGTAGCCTTCAGTTTCCTCCTGCTGTCCATGGCTCCATGCCACAGCAGGATCTGGTTTGCCTAGGAACTAATGACAGTCTGAAGACAGTTTGAAGATGTGATTTACATATTCTTGTATTTCAGTCTATAGAGTATATTTTGCCTGAAACATGGACCCTTACAAAGAGAAACAAAAGCACAACCCAAACAATGAAATTTGTGACAAATACTAGGAAAGGAACAGGTACAGATGGAACTACAGATTAAATCCTTCAAGAAGCTGCAATACAAAATTATATCCCAAATAGCCCAAAAGTGTTACTGGTGAATTTTTTGTAATTTTGTCATGATTTCCTGCTTATCAGCCTCATGAAACCCATGTCAGTTGGTATTACCTGTCTCCTCCCATGGGCCATGCTTCAGTGTACAAAGAGAAATAATGCATCGCATACAAGGGTACAAACTGTACAAAGAAAATGATGATTATGATACAAAATTTTGTTACGTGTGCTTGTTATGAAACAATGCTGTATCAAATGGTGAAATCTCACAGCTTTGGGTGCAGAAATGCAAATGATTACAGACAGGTTGCAGTGAGTCAGGAGAAAAGACAGGTCACACTATGAAGGTGCACATTTCAGTGGACAGGCTAAGAAAACCCATGAAAAATTTCATCCAAATAATCAATTACAGTCTGGATATGAACTGAATACCTTCTGAATGTTAAACGTATGCAGTGCCTGGAACACAAAGAAGTCACAGAGAATGCAGCTGCAGTGGAAGGATAATATTATCTTGAGAACATAAATTGGTAGAGGACAGGATCCAGTGCTAGGATTTTGTGTCTCTGGTAATGAACCACTGACTAAGGAAATATATTTATCAATCAACTCACCAGACTGCACTCCGACTGCCTGGCTTAGTACACCCGTACAGCAGCATGTGGTGTGTTGTCTTCATTGTGGCATTTGGTTCAAACCCAACTGGAACAGTCACATGCAGAGTGGAGCATGAGCCTCTCAACTGACAATTCACACAATTTGTTCCGGAAGATTCGGTTTAATAAAGCAAAATGAGTTGTATACAGTCTGGCTGCAATTGTCAGTGGTAATGCAATGAGGCAGCAATACTGGGTCCAACATCATTAGCTTCCTCTGGTTTCTTGATAGTCAGAGGATGTGAATGATGTTACTTAGTTATCTGTGCCCTTGTGGGATCTTCCATCGCACATTAGTTTATAGGCTGAAATGTATAACTTCTGTTTTCTTTTAATTTGGCTTCTTCATTTCTTTTCTTTTCCCTCTCACTCTCTTTTCCCATGTTCATTTCTTTCTTGTGTCACTATGTTTGCACTTTTCTTGGGTACTCTGTCTTATCTCCTCACTTCGATGTACAAGTATATATCTCACGGATTCTTACACATGTTAACTGCGTTCTGATTGGCAGGTACAACATGCAGCTGTCTTACTGGCTCATTCGGATGAATGTTCATTTTTTCATACATATTTGTGGCTTGAAGCTGGAGGCCTTTGTCCCCATTAAGACATGAGAATTCTGCGTGCAAGAAGTTAACATATGCTGTTATGAAATATTTTCCATTCATCCTTAAGCATCTGTTTTGTAGTACCTGAAATTCTTGAATTTTACATTTGTGTGTATGGGCACAGGCTTTGGAACAACAACAGATCACTGGTTTGATGTGTGTCACGTATAGTTGAGTACCAGGACAAGCTTTTGATGACTGAAAGTCATCTAAATAATATTTACAAATTTAATTCCTTTGCCACAGGAAACACATTATGTCTTCATAATGACAAACAGGTTAATGCTGTTTAAGGAAATAATTGCTGTTTACTGTGAGAATCATTTGATACAAGTAAAAAAAATTTTTTTTTTTAAATTTGCTTAGTGGGGGGTGGAGTCCAACTGGGTCCACTTGGCATGGCAGCCACTGATTGGCCTATTGTAGCCTGCCCTGGGTGATTATGATGATATGTTGTGGAATGAAGATTGGCAGGGGAAACCAAAGTCCTCGCAGAAAACCAGCCCCAGCGCCACTTTGTCCATCACAAATCCCACTTGACCAGACCCAGGATCGAACCCGAGCCGCCGCGGTGGGAAACCAGTAACTAACTGCTTGGGCTATGGTGGGGCCTTGATACCAGTAAATATACACTACTATGTGGGTATAATGCATCATTTTTTTATGTTAAAGCAGGTGGTATATATAGTAACCATTGTGCTTTAAAGGGTTAATATTTAATGTTAGGATTCGCACAGACTTCTCAGCTTTACACCTGACTGTTGTATGAGATGTTCACTGGCAAAACAGCCCCACAAGAACTTGTGACTGATGTCATGTGACACTGCAAATGGTGTTTGTGGAGCAGGTTGCCTGCACATCTTCTGGGTCAGTACAGTGAAACATGAAACATTTCTGCAAATCAGTCAGTTTCATGCATATGTGTGATCAGGGGATCTCTGTGTGCACACTGATACAGGCAAGCTCAGTGTTAATGCAGATGGCCAGACAGAAAACGAACGGCAGAAATAAGAAATGAATAAAAAGTGTACATAAAACCAAATGGTAAAAGGAAATTTGGGAACGAAAGAAGGAGTAACATTTGTATGACTGCTGACAAAACATACTGTAATGGTGTGAACTGGATTCATGCGGCTCATGACATACACAAATGACAGGCTTTTGTGATGACAATGAGGAAAAAAACATGCACTATAATAACAGAAAATATCTTCTTCACCAGAATAATATCTGCTGCTGGATGTGAGGTGTGTTCTGCATTGTAGCGCAGTGTACTTCGGAGACAACCTAACATATTTTGAGGATCATATCGCCAAAGAGTAAGCCAAGCAAGAAACCAGCAGAAGCATGTGACAATTTTCTCTACTACATAGTATTGCAAACCACATGACCATACTCTACAGCTGTATGTTGGTCAAGGGTTCAGTTGGATGGAAAGCAGGCACTTGGAAAACAGAGGCATAGAAGGGCGAATACTGAAACTTCTGAAAATAAGTTGTAAGGATGTGAAGCAGCTCAAGACTGTGTCAAATGGTGTGCTCAGTACTGCTAAACTAGGGGCCCTTATGTAAGGGTAATTAATTGCAATCAATAAAAGGGATAAAGTACTGCCTACTCACCAATGTAGTAACTCTTGCTGTAGTCCACTTTCACTGGAGTACATAGGTACAGTTCAGGCTGAAACAAAGCAGACAGATATCACTGGCCAGCACGTCATCCAACACGTATGGCACAGATGTGCCACGTGTCAGAGACTCTGTTTGGCTGGTGTGGGGTGTGCACTAGATATTTTTTATTGCTAGTGGGGCGGGACTAAGTCCCTTGTACTGCGGCCACTTCTGGCCTATTGTACCAACCCCAGATGTTAGGTGAGGGTGATTGTGGAGCAATTGGTGGAATGAAGATTGGCAGGGGAAACCGAAGAAAATCTGCCATAGCGCCACTTTCTCCACCACCAATCCCACTTGACCAGACCCGCGATCGAACCCGGGCCGCCGCGGTGGGAAGCCAGCGACTAACCGCTTGAGCTATGGTGCGGCCAGTGCACTAGATTCATCTGATCTGGAATGGGGCCCGAGGACCTTCTGTTAGAGGGACTGAACGCTGAACCCCCTACCCCCCTTCAAACGAAATTTCATCGGAATACACTGAGTAGGTTTGGTAATGACATATTAACACAGACGGGCATGAGGGTGGGAGGCCCCACAGTTGCGCAAAACGAGATAGGAAGAGAACCCCCTGCCACTGCCAGTACAAACAAATGAACTCAATCACGTGCACTTCACTGCACCAAGTCGCACGCTATATGCGCATATGTCAGAGCTTACATGTAGTTCGTAAAAGCTACTGTAAAAGTAAAAAAAAGTAAAGGTATCCCTGTAACAGGCCGTGGAAGCCCATAGGGTTTGGCGATGTTGAGGTTCCCACATTTTCTAGACAATCGGCTCACAGATGGCGGCAAGGTTGTCAGCCTTACGCGCCGGCCGTCCTTTAGCCCCAGGAAGATTCCTGGTACTCATTTCTATTAGAGGCTTAGTCGACCCCAGGGCCATAGTTGGGCTGGAAGGATTAGGTCAATTGAAAAAATCTACTGACCTCATCGGGACTTAAACCCGTGACCTTCCGGCTTGTAGCATAGTGCCTCAACCAACTGCGCTACCGCCAATGCATCTAGTCCATAATACGTCTTCTAAGTAATGTAAATCTAAAGATGTAACAGACAATTTTGTTTCCAGGTAAATGTATCAGGGTCATTTGATTATTCGTCCCGGTAGGGTTTACCGGGACATAAGGGCATTCTCGTTTATGTGGAAATTCATGTTAGCATCGTATTGCAAGCGGTGTATATAGACCTTCGTAACATCCGCTTCTCCGTCACAGTGACGTGCGAATGCTCACTCATATAATGCCATCTGACGGAATATAATTAGAAGTGTTTGTTTATTAAGATCGATCGCAACCATGGCTACAAGCATGACGTCATAACAGCCAACCGTGGGTGAAAAATCGATCAGAATAATTGCAAGCATCTGCGCAGGCGGAGAATTCGGTTCATTCAGAGAATTCCAAAATGTTTGTGATTTTGTGATTCCCACCATATTGAATGCGTGGGAGTCGGGCCAGACCTGACGAAGGTTCTCTCTTGAGTAGTAACCTTCCTTACACTGAGGAAACTATACATACTGTGTGCCACTTTATACTGCGTGTAAATTCTGAAAAAAGTGAGAATGTGAAATGGCTTAGGAGAGGGCCCAGCTTTTATTGACAAGCTGAGCTACTATCAGTTATTCACGAACACTGTACCATGTAGTTGGTAGAGCTAAGCTGTACAAAAACTGAAACCGCAGCACACTGAACTATCAAAATCTGCTAGTCTGTACTTATGGGTACTAACTCCCACTGCGGCGGCCGGGGTTCGATCCCAGGTCAGGTTATGGTGGGATCTGTGGCGGACAAAATGACTCTGGGGTGGGGTTTTCTCCGCGAACTCGCTTCCCTGGCTTGTTTACATGCAACCACCTGCTCCGCATTCATTAATGCTCCTACCATCTGACGCTACGTAGTCTAGATCCTGTGAACTGTTAACAACTCACTAATCCAGATATGAAGAGGAGCGATCACGTGCCAACATCCGTCTGCACTGTTCACTGCCAAACATTAAATTGCGAGCATGTTTCTCATGACATTTTTATATTCACAATTTGCAGCTTTGGTGCGGTGCTAATTACGAATTTGCATAATGAACGACATACATACAACTGGAGGGGGTTATGAAGGATTTGTGAAAACCAGTCTTTAGTTAAGACTGGATGCCAAAATGAGAGTAAAGTAATTTGAAATTCTGTCTGGGACTTGCCAAATGCAATCTTCGTGGCAGCAGCTTCCAGTATTCAAGGATATGTAACCCGCACTGCAACCTGTCAGCCTACACAGTACCGTTCCCCTAAACATAATTATGTGATTGGTTATTTATTTAATTTGTACTCACCCTATACGGTTTGACATTTGGCATCAAGAACGAGAACTTCTCCACTTTATAGGCCAAACAGCAATAATGTGTGACAATAATCAGAGCCACTGCTACCATATGGTAGCTTCTAACCGCCATTTTCAACCTACCACTACGGAGTCTGCTGCTCGACTGACGACACTGACACCAGCTGCGCAAGAAGCATGGGTTGCAACAACTGCGGTTACATCATAGCCGCATAGTAAGAAGCGGATTTCATTGATCGTTCAGTTTAAAAAACAGTGGTTACTATATACGCCAGGTAATTTTGCATTAAAGAATTCTGCATTCTGCCGACGCAGTGTGTTTATGTGTTTTGTATGAATGTCACGGCAAGCAACACTGACCGCCAGCGCGGTTTGAGCTTCTGACGGAGGTCTTCTGCGATGTGACACCGTGCAGTCTGGCAGAACGTTGCAACGTTTCAGCGAAACGTGCTGCTTTCATCTTCAAGCTAAAAGAGACTTGCCAAATACAATTCTACCAGATGCGCGCGACCTGTGCTCCCTTTACGCATAAGCAACGAAAATGTTCCCTACATCACCATTGGCATGGCGTATAGCTGTACGACCGAACGGGCTGGCATACGGTAACACTCTTCTCGTATTCCAGAGGTGTTGGGTTCAAATCCCGGCCATAGTAATTGAGTTTTTTTAAACAGCAGGGTAAGTACCCCGATTAGGAGACGACCGTCTCCTTCCCAATTCATCGCCCTATTTTTTATTATCCTTCCTGGTGTAAGACTGAGTCCACTCGTTACTGCGGCCAGTAACTAGCCTACTCTACCAGCCCCAGATGTTAGATGATGGTGATTGTGGAGCAGTCGGTGGAATGAGATTGGCAGGGAAAACCGAGATACTCGGAGGAAACCTGACCCAGCGCCACTTTGCCCACCAGAAATCCCAATAATCAGACCCGTACTCAAACCCGGGCCGCCGCGGCGGGAACCCAGCGTCTAACCGCGGCCTATCTATCGTTCTATGATTCTAGCTACTGAGAGCATCGTTAAACACCCCCTTCCGCCAGAATCCGTCCGTCCGTACGTAACAGCTCGAGAACTGCTAATGGATTTTCGGGGCTGTCATGCTCGGATGGTATTGCCCCATTCCAATTTTGGGCTGAAATCGGCCCAAGTAGCGGTCACTTTACATAAAGACCTACGGGCATTTCTGCGCGTCTCGACCGGAGCGAAAAACGTTGCAGAGAGAAATGAAACACATTTTGTGTCCTTAACACTTTTTCTGCAGGCCTTGTGCGTTTAGAGATAATTAAACAGGAGAGATGAAATGAACCCAAAATTGTTATCATGCGCGCGCACTTTTCCTAATTTTCTCCTGTTCCTTCGACAGAGACCGCGGATTTTCATTGCAGACATCTGCATGTCCGCCGTATGTACAGCGATAACAAACCATATGTATAGATCATAAGGAAGTGTATTATCCAAAATTAAATTCATCCACATCGGAACTTTTATCATATTCTTCCCACGTCTCATTCTATGAAGTGTCTTGCAGGGGACAAGTACACACGGTGAGATGGATGCATTTCCCGTCTGAATGGGGAGGTTCGTGAATCAGTATCACTCATCGGCTCGAACCTGGGCCGCAACACCGGCTACCCTCACGTTTTTCGTGGCTTACATCAGTCCCTTCCAATTCATCATGAATTGTGTATGTTTCTACCACCCGAAGCTGTGCAGCCTCGATAATGGTATAGACCAAGGGTCTCCAAACTACGGCCCGCGGGCCACATCAGTTCGCGATGTGATTTTATCCGGCCCGCGAAAGAATTGTGCAGAAATGCGCCAATTGAACTAATTTTCCAATGAGTACTGGTAAAAAAATACTTGTTCATAGATTTCAAATTCATTAATTAAGACTGTGTTTAAAATATACTGATATTCCATATTATGTTAATATTAATATTATTCACAATTTTACTAATTCTGGACCGTGTACTGCGCGGTATTTCTTCGTTAATTGTTCGGCCTCGATCGGCAGTGTCTTCGTGGCAATGTAGGTTGCGCGAGCAGTTCGTTACTAGCCGTCTTGTGCACAGGACTTCTTGCAGTGGTGCAGTGTAATTGTAACAGATAATCATCACCGCCGGTGTCGTAATTATTACCATTTTTGTATTAAAGGCAACTTATGCCCAGTTTTGCTCTAACTGTTCCGAGAATTGGTAGTAAGGAATGTTGATAAGGCTACCGGAACTTTAGTCCATTCTACGATGGTCGGCTTGTAAATTTATCTCCATTTTTGGGACGACATATCTGTGTGAACAAACTTTTTCCCAGGTGAAGTACATCAAGTCGAAATACAGGGCAAATTTATCCGATGAACATTTAAAGTCGCTACTTGCGATTAGCGCTTCAAAATTTGAAACTCAATTTAATCATATTTTAAGAATGCAAAAAGAGTTCCATCATTCACATTGTTTTATTATAATTTGTGATGAAAATATGAGCATTTGCTGCTACTGTCTGTTGTCATNCGGGGCCTGATTTACAGTTCATTTAATGATGCCGTCAGCAGTTCAAGGTATATTGGATGGACGTAGCAGGAAGTGGCCGTGGCTTAATTTATTTTTAAAGCAGTAATAGCAGGTAATTTCGCGCAGGTCACGTGTTTGATATAAAAAATGAGTTTTTTTTTCTGGTGGTGGGAAAACATGAAATTACTGCATGATCTAAACGTTTTTAAAGGATTAGTCGACTCTGTCAGTTTAAAAATGTAATTCAAAACGCGGCCACATCTGGTTAACGTGAATACCTGCTTATGTTTATATTACTAACCAGCACATTATAACTGTATTTCGCACAACCCAGGGAAAGTATAGATGGGTGCATTCCTACGTCATCAAAAGTAATGACATCATACAAGATGGCGGGGCAAACAAATACGGTATGCCAGCCTGGAAAACTTCGCATATTCATTTAGTTCAAATACCAAAGAAATACTCCCATAAAAATCATCTTTTACTGTCTATACGCATGTGATTTTCGCAGTTAATAATGAGGAAACTGTGTACTCTGATAAATGGTAACCCACGTTTTCGAAGAATGTGGTGCATGTACATCTTTTGGTTAGATGAAACAGCTGGTTCCTCCAAAGCTTTGGTATCTATTTACAGAACCACAGGCTCTCACAATCCAGTGACAGAATATGAATTCAGGTGTCCCTTTAAGCAATTCATATATTTTCACATCTATACTTCTTGCGGTCATTTCAATTTTACACAGCTTTATGCCAACACATCTTCAGGGGTTCAACATCGCACCCTTCTACATATGCCATTTCTTCTTCTGACGTCATATCTACCGATTATGATCCAGCCAACCAGAAAACCATACCTAGTTGTCTCCTCTCATACCGTCTGTTCAGTTTTAAGCAACATTTTCATCACGTACTCTTAATTTAATCAATTCTGCTGCTAAATCATCCTTGTTCCTCACCTTCAATCTCTTTTATTCATTTGGTGACTAAGTTTGTTGTTCATGAGTACAACATACTTTGATGCTCAGGTCATGGAAGTAAGTCCCATGGCACTTATTGCTAGTTATCACTATCAACACTTATGTCAACATGTCAACAGTATGACTAGACAGCCGTGTGAGGATACAGGGCCTCAGTAACAAACACACATTAACAGTCCACTTTTTATTTAATTGCTAAATGGTGCATGTTGAGATGCTTTATTCCTGAGAAGTCTGGCAACACTGTGCCCACAGAAGAGCATAACAGTGGTAATGCTCTTCGCCTTACATTAAGATGTAGCAAAAATAGTCACACAAATAACAAGCTGCAAATAAAACGAAATTAATGGGAAATTAGAACTCCAAACAAGACCACCCTGAAGACGACAACTGCAATATATGTTGAAACACTGGGTGAGCTTCACCATTTGGCACATATACAACCGATGCACAACTACAAAACTATGTTTTGAGAAGGGAAAGGATCTGTACCAGAAGAGAAGAGGCTCAAATAACAATCACACTAACATTCAAAGTAGTTTTAATACCGATTGTAAGGGGCAGTGACAGTCAACCAGCCATACATCTTACTCCCCCACACCACCAGCATGACAGTAGGGGCACACAACAATGAAACAACCACGTCATCAATAATTTAAACATACACGTGCAAGAAACCCTGAACCACTTTGTGTGTGGATGTGACAACAGGGCTGAGAAGCAGTCTGACACCCCCTCCCCAGGGGCAGATTTGTACTAGAAATGCTGGGATGGCTGAATGCCAGATGCACACAAGATTCGTTAATGTGGNTAATCAGCAGAAAACATTACACCTCTGATATCACAGTAATGAAGTTTTCAGTAACTGAATGAACGCCAATCAAGTTAAACTACGTGGACACACAGAGTTCTGTAAGCAGCCCAATCCAAGTTGTTAACTCTTTTTAAGATAAACATGAGGATATACTGCATTTACGCATATTGTCTGTCCCTTCTGGTATGAATGCGTTTCAGATGAACAGTGAAGACACATTTTATCATCTCAAAAACAGTTATCCAAGCTAACAGTACATACTCTTTGACAATATAAAGTATATTACCAGTACAATACAGTTACGGATTTTTAAATAAAAACTGAGCATGGACAGGCTTACACCCTTTCTATGCCACGTTTTTCAATCATATATTCAGTCTCCTGTGAAATATCAACACTGCTGTATTGGCTTCGACATGTCAGTTCACCAACCAGCATTGTACGAACTGCAATGGTTATATGACGCCAAATGATTGTGAATCGAGAGTTCAAATGGTTGTGGTTACTACCTAAATATTATTTTTCTTCTACAACCAACAAAAGCAGCAGCTGTGACTGCTAACTCCTGCAGAAATCTTATTAATCCTCTGAAGCTACCGATTTCCTATAGCATAAAAAATCAGAATTTTTAGATGAAACATGATGTACCTTCATTACAAAGATCAATCAGTTAATCATATTTACGTAAAATAATCACTGCTTACTCTGAGAATCATATGAAATAACAAAATTCACTGTGGGTAAAATATCGAGCTATTTAATATCAAAGCAAATGGTACACACACTAACCACTGTGCTTAAAAAGTTAAATACCACAGTTCAAACCCTACTGCCTATACTATGACTGGAGGTTACAGAATAACCGACTGAAAAGTAGAAACCAACCAACTATGAGCAGAGACTATAAAACTGATCAACGGACAAAATGAAATAGGGAGATTCAGTTCCCACAAAATATTTGATCTAAGTTGTGCTAAGAGTTATAATGACATGAAGTCCAAACTCCCTACATTGGACATAACTACCTGAATGAGGCATGCACTGAACACGCTACCCCTTGTACAACTTGGCCTGACAGAGCTCACATTATCCATGCTAAAAGGGCTACAATGAATAACAAATGACAACAGAAACACAACAAGGAACATGACTCCATACTTGCCATCACAAAACAGCAGGAAGACTGGGATGAAAACAATAAATACACTAGGTAACTGAAGAGGCACAGCTCATGTAAGTGATGATTCCTAAACACACGCCCAAACCAAGCTTCATTCATTTATTTTATCACACAAACTCCTTAAGTCATATAATATCAAATGCAAACTTCGTTATCGAAGTCCTGCATCAGAACTTGCCTGAAAGAACTGAGAAAAGCACAAACAATTTTAGTCATGAATTGAAGACGGTATAACTTGCAAATACTGAATGAAACTTATACAATGCTGCCTAACGTGGATGTGCACAATGCATTTGAAACCTACTAGTTATCCTGCTGCTTTTCCAATCCAACACATTTACACATATGATGCAGCATCCTTTTACTGGTCGAAATTTAAAACAGAGGAACAGTGAGTTTGAAGACGTAATCCTAGCAATTTTTACTAACATTAATATCTAGGTGGACATGCTTGAGATCTTTGTTTTCCTTAGACACTTCCACTTTATGAGTGAGTGTCCACTGGCAGCCACAGCTCCTCCTCCTCAACTGCCCGCCATGTTCTCCTTTCCTTTTGTGTGACAGCTTTCCTAACTCGCCCTTCTGCACCTTAACCTCAGTTTAATGACAATTCCCTAGTATGAGGATCATTAAAACATTACACCAACTGAATCAAATGATGACTAAAAGGCATTTTTATCACCTGGCAATCCAAGAAAACTCCACTTTCATTGCTCAAACCAATCACACACTTTCCACACACGTTCTTTGCTATTATGCACAACTCATTAAAATCTAATGTGCATCTATACCACACACGGATAAATCTATTGCCTGTGCACAAAATCTGTCAGTGCAGTGTGAGATCCAGCTTGCAGAGGATTGCTAGACACCCTCCAAATCAAAATATAACCAGCAGACCTGCAGAAGTGAGGCAGCTGAATTGTCTATTCTGACATTAAAATTGTTACCCCCAAATTAAAACATGGCCACCACTACTGCAGCAGCAACAGATATAGAACCCCTACTCTTGGTGACAAATATCACACTTCTCAGTGTCAACATTATTCTCATGTTCTCTTAAATATTCACGAGATTAAAAAATATTTCACACACGTTCTGCTCATGAGATCCATATTTTGTTATGTATGAAGCCTTCCTACAGAGAGCTCATCTTCAGAAATCTGACAGAGTTTGCATTCATATGGACAGAAATTAAACTATTTTCATTAATTTTATTGCTGACCCCCACAGCACCGAACTTTATCCGAACTCTACAAGAATAATTTCAGAGATGAAATATGTTAAAAAATTAAAATTATGTTTAAGAATTAATTTTATGCACACTGTGCAAAGAATAAACACTAACAGCAACATGTATGAATTCTGTATGGAAATTTAATTTTGCTCATGGCGAACGCTACCTCACAGAACAGGTACCTTCATGTTAAGAGATTTCAATGATACTATCATGGAATATCAGCACACTGTGTGGATTACTGCGGCCTGCTCAGAAATAAAATTTATACAAAAATTACATAAGGTCCAAAGCTTTCACAGAGAATAACTGTCCTAAAATTTTTCGCACAGTCACGTCAAAGAAGAGTTCAAAAGCCATGTTCTGAAGGCTTGCTCTGACCCGATTACCAGGATCAACCCTGCAGTGACTTGGCAGGTCTCCAGAATGTCTGTTTATGTGAGCTTTAAAACACAGCCAATTGCCTGAGAATATTTTAGTGCAATTATCTTGTTCATGTTATCATGTATGGCCACACAATTTGACCAGAACAACCATCAATGCGACAGGCATTAGGAGCACCCAGACAGACAAGCACCATATATATATATATTTACAAACACAGAGGGAAATGCATGTTTCTCCACTGGGACAATAAGAAAAGGTTTCACCTACATAACAAATGTATGCTCATTCAGACGTCACTGCATGGCATTTGGAAAACAAAATTTGCATTGTCTTCTAGGATGAGGTGCCAGGCAGTTTGGTGGATAGGTTCCTCCGAGACACCAGCCAGTGACTATCTACCAAAAAACATGGGATCACAACCCAGAAGCGAGCAATCTTCACAGACACTGCTGTGAGAGAGAATCAAAAACCTCAAAATTCCTAAGACCTAAACAAGATAAGAAATTGTCACGAAAAGATTTATGCCAGTTACTGGGTTGTATGCCCTATGCCATTCAGCAAGTGGCAGCTTCAGTACTCCGCTTCTCAGCCCCAGTGATGAAGAAATGAAGAAGGGTGGAGGAAGGACACAAAGGGATGAATGACATAATAACAAGAGTGTGTGCGCAAGCGCACATACACACCATGCTGCTATGTTAGCAAATGCAAAAATGAGCAAAACATGTTTATACAGCACTTACAACAAATGCACACTTCTCTTGCGCTGTCTGTCCCACCACTTATACCACCTGTTACATATGGAAAAAACTGAACACCCCTAATTGCACTTCCACTACCGGAGATTCCATTATCACCATTAGGATTATTATTGGACTTTTCTGTGTACTCTAACATTTACAGGAGAAAATCTGATAATCCTGATTCATCAGACATATAACACGTTCCAGGGCGAGGAGAAATGGGCAAGTTCACTGGTGTCTGCAAATGGTACAGCTGGTTGTGAAGATGCTGAACATTATAAAACTTTAAGTAATGACAATGAAGGAACCGACACTGAACATACGGATCCACAAACACCAAGATACTGAGAACGGGAAGTCACTTCCTCCACATCACAAGCACAGTACACTGTTTACAAAACCAAAACAAGAAGAGGTTGGTACCACTGCTAAAAGTGGGGAGTTCTCTTTATTTACAGGAAGTTTCACCAAATGGCGAGACCAGCTTGGGAAATGCTTGGTTACAGTGCTGGCTAGAACAAACATCTTGTGTTGGCAGCAATGAGGACACTTCCAGACTGAGTACGCAACAACATAATACTGGATATTACTCGCACTGTCAGTTGAGCAATGACAGCAGCTGTCCCACAGCATTTCCCAGTGCTCTACCCCACCTTGGTCCCCAGTTCTACTCTATATGAACTAGTTGAGGTTCTCCCAGCCCGTGGTGAGATGCGGGAACCCAGGTGGTTGCTGCTGGCTGCTGGAAGAGCTCTGCCATCATGTCTTCCAGTTGTTGATGGAGTGGGGGTGAGAGCGAGAAGGTGAGGGTTGTGGCGAGGGTATCATGTCGAGCAGGTACTGTCGCTGGAGGTCTGCTGCTTGCCTTTGCAGCTCCACCAGATTCGCCGCAGCAGCTGCCACTGTACTCTTACCGCTCGCTGCCTGAGCTATGGCGAGCTGGTGGTACGGATATAGGAGAGGCGAGAAGGGGATCATATGTGCAGGCATGGGCTGGTGCTGGGGCATCCCACGCAGCAGCTGCTGGTGTAGTGCTGCAGCTGCTGCGTGGTGGGACCCAAACTTGCTTGACTCAGCTGCCAGCTTTGCCAGAGGGTGGTCACGGTGTGGTAGTGGTGGTGTGGGGGCTGGGGGAGGAGCAGGGGCTGGGGGAGTGGGTGCATGGCGTGGAGGTAGGGTTGGTGTGGTGGGTTTGGAAGCAGACATAATCACTGGGGAGGGGGCAGGGGGGGCATGGATGGGAGGTTCTGGCACTGGAGGGGGAGCAGGTTGTTGTGTGGTGGGGGACGAGCACGAGGACACCTGCGCTAGTCGTTGCTCGATCTCTTGCTCCTGCTGTAGGGCCTTCACAAATGCAGTCTTCAGACGGTTTGTATGTTCTGCCTTCAGCGCCTTCTTGACATTTGTTGTTACGCACTGCTCACATATAACCTTAGGCTCTTTGCCTGAAACACAACAGGGTGTTCGACACAAATGTAACACTAACTGAAATGCAAAAATGCTTTTGTATATTGCTGTCCCTTTACCTCAGTCACGTACTCTGTAACAAAATTTCCGGTAAAAAGTTCATTACCAACAACAAAAAATCAATCACTCATCTCTATTCTCAGCCACTTCATCTGGTTCTGATCCAGATATATTAAAAGCTCATTAAGAAAGGCCATCCCAGAGATCAGGCAGCTGCCAGTGACTTTCCACAGTGAAGACCCAGGCTCAATCCCAGGGCAGACCAAGTGGGATATACACTGGGGAAGGATTTTCTGAGTGCTTCACTTTCCTCCTGCCAATAACCATTGCACCTACCATCTTAGGCTGCAATACAAGGGACCCATACTCACTCCAAGCCTTCAACTTAGAAATAAAAAAACCCCAAAGAATGGAGCAGTCATTTTTGAGTGGCTAATAGTTTACCAGCTACTCAAGAAACTTTCCACCTTTTATAGAACCAGAATGTTCATTACTGTGCTCACAAGAGCCTGTAATGTAATCTTACACTGTGCCAGTTGAATCCACTCAACACAACTCCCATTACATTTCTTCAACATTCATTCTTGTATTATCCACCCATCCTGGTATTTCAAGTGGCTACTTTAGACTTCACCTGTAAAATTCTGCCCCACCATTGTTGCTCACCTTTTGATGGATTCTTCTCCCACTTCCATACAGGTGTGAAGTCCGTCTGGCACTGTGAGCATTTGAATGCATCAGGTGGGGGTGGGGTCTTCTGGTCCTTGGTGATGTAGTCCACGACATGCTCCAATCCAAGCAGGTAGATGAACTCCGTATTCGACGGGTTTGGGATGAAATGCATCTCTGGTGGGGGTGGCTTTGGGGGAGGAATCTGAAAACATAAGCTGCAGTGTTGGTGCGAGAACACTCCGTACACTACAAAGTCTGAGTACAGTATACATATAACAAGCCACAGTGTTGGGGCATGAATCACTACACACTACAATCTACAGGCATTAACACTCCCCCCTTGGCCTGTTTCAGACATAGCAGACATAGTGCTACCAACCTGCAACAGGGTTTTCTCCAGCTGCTTTCTCAGGGCCAATTTTGCAGCTGCCTGACGCTGTGCTGGTGTTTGCGTCTCTTCCACACGCACCCGATCCTGCAGGAATGTCCACATTACAGAGATAAAAACAAGCACACAATAAACCAATCAACAGCTACCTACTTACCAGAGCTGTCGCTGCCATTTATTCAGCCTTCTCTACAGACTAACACGAAACCTGCTGCTGTTGTCAGGACCATTACTGAATGCAGAACGTAAGATACATTCGGAAACCAATTTTTGCGCACGTGCAACATGTTATTTTTCTTTAAAACATTCTGCCAAAGATAGATACCTAACCCCAATTACTTGAAAAGTTCAGTAAGTAAGGACATACTTATACGTACTAAGATAATGAATTCGACAGAATCTGTAACAACACACACTTACACAAGCAGCTTTAGGAACTGAAATGAGGGCACTCAAACCTTTTCTTTGCCTATCCATGTAACACAACAACCAATGACTACAACACCAAAATGTTGGCACTACTGTACCTGCTCTGGTAGCTGCAGAGGGGTGGAGCTCATGGGAGTTTTGTTCTCCACATTGCCGAGTATCTACAAGCATAATAAAATCTCCCCTCAACTCGCCAGCTTCATACCATTACACTCATCTTACAGTGCATCAGTAATCTATAATCATTTCAACGAAAAATGAACTGACTACTTGATGAGTACCATAGTCTCTTGAATACCCAGTCCCATGAACAAGGCATGTGACCTACTTCTTTGGGGACTAAAATTACAAAGGAGTTTTGGTGAACTTACTGTTATATTAAAGCATGCATGTCAAGTATAGGTGTACATAACACACAGCACCATACTGAGGGGGGTTGGTGGAGCAGCAAAGCCCCAGACTGTTTGAATCTGGTTCAGGACACCAGTTCTCCTGACTGAAGTTTGTCATGGCTTTCCTCAGTCCCTCTAGACAACTGGGAGGGCAGTAACTAAATGAAGCCATGATCACTTCCTTCCAAAACCTTTCCACTTCATCAATAATCCTGCCATATGGCCTAGACACTGATGCCGCATAAAGTAACACAATACCCCCCCCCTTGAAATTAGCGTTCCCTGCCTGTTACATTTACAGCTTCTACTTCAGGATATTGTTAGTCACATTTCCTATCAGCAGCGTGATTTCCAGGTTCTTCTGCTACTTGAATTACTTTCAGCTCATCAGAAACAGAAATTTCAGCAGTCACGTTTATCAGAATATGTGCTGGTCATCACACAGATGAAGTGTGTCATTATGTGACAGTGCTGCCAACTTCATAATCAATTAGTGATGCACTCCACATTTTAGTCACATCGTCTTTAAATCACATGCAGGTAATTTGAGAAAATTCGGTAATTACAGAGTTCTCTGACCAAGTCAAGCAGCAGTGGCCACAGAACATTTTGTCCCCCTGAGAAAATCATTTTAATGACTGACCTATCGCACCTCACCATCTACAGGAACAAAAGGAAAGGAAAAACTTTATGAAAGAGAAGTTGCTTCTTCTTTCTAAGAATTATGAGATCTGGAAAGTGGTTCACAAGATGCCACTCTCTTGACGTTAGCAATGTTACGTTAGAGCACAGTGGGCATGTTAATATGAACCCCCACCTGCTGCTGCTGCTGTTGCTGCTGCGTCTGAGAGATGGGGGGCGGCGCAGGGGAGTGATGGGACTCTTTGGGTGCGCCACGGTCCTGTGACCCTACAGAGTAGCCCATCACCACATTGGGAGGCGTGTTTACAGGAGGCCTGCCACTCAGCGATCCACTCCCACCTGTAGAAATGCAATGGCATCTGTCACCTGCAAGTTCCTTGCACTAGATACAAACTTGACATTACACAGTATATTGAGCTATCAATATATGCCGTCTTCATTTAATGTGCTAAACAGGAAACTTGCTGGAATGTTCTGGATATTTACAGGCATTCTTCCCCCCTGCACATCTTTGCAGAACACATCTTCCACATTAAGTCAGACCTGCCTGCGCATAAATAGCGTTAAAAAATTTGCCCAAATAAAAATAATTAAACTTATACAAATAGAGATATAAAATAAGAGTAGAGAAAAACAAAGGAATGAAAAGAAAGAGAACCAAGCAAGCAGGGAGTCCAGGAGGGTAAGAGACAGAGTACTGGGTAAAGAAAACAAAACAGAGTACACAACTGCTCTCCCACCTCGGAGAGACTGCTGTGTCAGCATCATGTTGGGTGGCAACCCTGTAGATGAGCCGCGGCCTGGCTGCGGAGCCATCATCAGTGGAGGAGGGTGATGAATACTCTGACCCCTTGAGGGTGGAGGCTGCTGTAATATAAGAGCAACACGGCTGTTATACGAGCTTAAGCATGTAACACACAGGATCACACAGAAACTAGATGTTTTCTACCATCTCGTATTCGTTAAGGAACATAACATTTTGGACACTGGATATACTTCAGTCACCAGGTGAAGGGATGAAACCTAGTCTGTTGGGAATTCAAGAGGGCACCAATTTATATTTTCACCCTTCCTTTTATATTGTGACAAAATGAAGGACTATTTTGCATTCTCTGATACAAATGTACAATATACCAATCCATTTCTATACATAATTTATAGTAACAAAAACATTCAAATTATGTTAAATTAAGTCAGCTATAACCTCAAACATGTTTGTAACTGCTAGCACACAAACAGGTTTTGTACAGGATTCACACATATGAAGGGAACCAACTTCTGGGCTGTAATGCTGCACAGTTCAGGGACAACCCAATGTTTCAGATGAATATAAAGCCTCCATCTTCAGGGCAAGAAGAGTAAGACCAGCAAGACTAGATAATTGCCTGCTTCAGTCATTTTCTTGGTTGGCTTGCTCTTCAACCCAGAACATGGAGACAAAACATCAGGCTAACTCTGAGCTGTGACAGCACACGTCAGAGTCCCCAGAACAATGACCTCACATTTCACATGCCCAGCTCCAACTTTTCACTACTTGTTGCCATGAAAGCCATACGGCAGCCATGCTGCTTCACAACCACACAGGTATTGTGGAACCCAAATAAAACTTGTATATTTATCAAAATGTAATATGAAATTAATGGATCCTATGGTAAGTGGTGCTACTTTCCTTCCACCTTACAGGACAGCACTGCACAACAAGACTCACCCCTCGTAGCAGTGGTGGGATGATGTTGGGGATCGGCTGTTTTGTGTGGTTCGTCCTTACAAGTGGAGGCGGCGGCTGCTGCTGTGGTGGGGGAGGCAGTTTGCCAGGGGGTGGCACCTTAGAGGATGGCTGCTGGCTGGGAGGCACCACTGCAATATTCTCCTTCATCTGCTGTGACTGACGCAGCTTCTTGAGTAGTACAAGTTTCATCTCCTCATTCCGCAACTCTTCACGGAGCTTGCGCAACCCCCGCTCACGCTCTGCGAGCTCAGCTGGAGACAGCTCCTGCACAGTTCAGTCAACAGATGCACTATGAACTCTTTCTTCATCAGCTGACAGTGGCTAAGCTAGTCAAAAGTTCTTCTTTGATGAATTCTGAAGGCTCATTACTGTGTTCCCAACAACCCACACGATGCACTAAACACAGTTTCTGTTATTTGCCTCTTGGTTTGTTTAAACGGACTGTTATCAATAACTAACTCTGTGAATCAAAATTCCTTCTTGACAAGCTAACAGTTCTTGAGCTAGTCAAGATATTCCCAGCTACTATGAAAGCCAGAAGTTCATTACTCTGTCCACAACAGCCCATGAATGAACTCACCAGGTGACCACTGACCTCCACTGCAGCTTCTGACCTGACACCTCTGTGACATGCTGAAGTCTACAATGTATCGAGCTCAATCTCCATGTACCCTATGCCATTAGTGTGTCTAACTCACCTTGATAGGGGGTAGTGGTGGCATCTCCCCCTCGTCTGTGTCACTGTCATAGCCATTGGTAGCAAACCCGTTTATTCGGGGTTCCTCATCGGACAGCACAATGATGTCGGGACTCTCAGCATAGTTACGCTCTGTTCGGGGCCTCAGGTTGCGTCGTGGATAGCGATCATCGAACTCCTTTATGCTACGAGGGATCAAGCCACGAGACATTGTGTCACCAGCACCCATCATGTCGTCTGAAATGGGCCTGTGTGAACGGGAGAGATCTTGTGGCACCTCACTTGCACCCACTGTATTCCTGCTGGCTGGTGAAGGCTGCATGTCTCTGTCTCGCCTGCACACCATGCCACACTCATAATTTCTTTACAAAACTGAACTGCATCTGGGGGGGGGTGGGGGTGGTAAAGGAAGCATCTCACACACATAAAACACGATACTGCCAACTTCTGTGTTAACTCATTTCAACAGTTTAATACACATCATACACAAGTATTCTACAAAAGTCGAGTACCCTTCGTCTGATGACAATAAAGTGTTCTAAGGATAAATCACTAGTATGCATTCCCAACAGTACGTACAAGTGATCCTGGAATAAATAATCGAGAAACATCATGACTAACCAACACCACAGAGCAGAGTACTTCTGAGAACCACTCACTCACCCAGAACACAAATTCCTTACTCCATATGCATTTTACATTTATTGCTGTGACCACCAGAGCCTGCCCTACTGAAGATGTACAGGGAACCCTCGCTAATCTGGTCACACTTAATCCAGATGGTGGATAATCAATATAAGAATATGAAAAAATGGAAAATTCTATTCACAGTTGAGTATACGAGTATGCATACTTAAGAGACACATGGGATTTTGGAGCACGAGGACTTCCGGACTGTGTTGGGGGCAGCTGGAGAGACTGAAACCATGCAAGAAAATATCCAAGATTGGCGTGACGTCGATGAAAGTGGCCTTGGATTTCAGCCTCTGACAGTGAAAGATATTGCTGCAGTGATATTTTTTTATTTATTTTCATCAGCACTACCTATATTATTAAATTTTCCATTTATGTTTTTCTACGTTTTTGTTTTTTAGGGCTACATTTTCCTCCATTAATCTGGGCAATCTCTCCCACAAATTGATCTGGATTAATAAGGGTTTATGGTATTTTAATATCGTCCCGCATATTCTCAGGTCTCATGAGTGGTCTTTCATTGAAAGTTCCCTATAATTCTAAAAGCATTTCTCATCTGTCCAAAGCATATTACAAATCCCTCCATCGCATTCTCCTAGATTTGATCACCCCAATAACTGGCAAGGAGTATATTTTATGAAACTCCTCAAACACACCACATGGAGATGAGAACATACGAATCATTATGGCGTGGGAGTTCATTAAAACAGAACAATGTAGAGACACAAAATTCCTCGAGGCAAATTTCAGAACTGTATCCCCAATCAGGCCATGCCTATTTCCTTCCGCATCCTTTCCAATTCATTATACATCAACTATACTTCTCACAACCTATTTCTCTAAGTTACACTTTAATGTTACCCTCCCACCTCCTTCATGGTCTTTTCCAAGTCCTCACCTGACAAAACTTTACTGCACCGATGTGATATATGCACTCCTAGTCTTCATTACCTGTGCTACGTATTTAGCGAATCCTGCATAACACTGACATCATTACACACAATAATTATAAAAAACATTACTGCTCTGTATGTCCACAGTTATGGGAAACTTATAATTCCAAATGATTCGCATCCAGAGTTGCCAAATCATCAGCAATTGCACAATGGACTAGAATTAAACTGAAGTGGCAACAAAACCAACATGACAATGCTGTGTGACACAAATGTCTTCACCCCAACTCAAGCATGATGATACATGGCAACACTGGAAGTAATACCACTAGACCTACTTGACACTAAGATCCACAACTGCATCATCGTCTACATCCATCTTTTCCATGATGGCACTGTCAATATCACCGCCTGTAATAAATCAACCAATTATCATGAGTGTTATGAGCACTGCATCATCCAACAGAGTCTAATTTCAAGGTTACTGGTCCCATTTACAAAAAGGAGCCCTCCCCCCACATTCCTCTGCAGTCACCTAGCCATTCTGTTAACACAGATGTGAGTATTTTGTACCTTACACATCTCTGAGAATGTGTCCTCATGTCAGACTGTGACACAGTTACATCACTGCCAGAAAGTTACCACACTGACACAACACTGAACACACAGCACTTTTCTCCTGCAAGGATGCCTACTCACAACAGACTGTACCTTCAAAGATTTGTATTTTATGCATCCTGTTCTGTACTCATATAAGATATTACAAGTTCCTGTGCCACCACACAACATTTTCATGTGATGGTACAAACGAACTTTATTATCACCCTCAGATGTGTTTCAGACAAAATTTGGTGATAACATTGGCTAGTGAGCAATCTAGACTGGCCAACAAACACAGTCCAGAGGAGGGTGATTATTCTGCGGCCTCGGCGCAGGAAAGCCATTGCAACTATGCAACATTATTTATCAAAAACATCTACTCCCTTGGTTTCAGGAGATCCTGGGTTTGAATCTTTGCCTCAAGATATTTCATTTTATTCAGCCTCACATGCAGGGGTGCCTTAAAATGGGCTGCATGTACTCCACACACACTGTTAACCAATCATCATCCCTTCGCTACACATGCAAATCATCATCACCATCATAATCATCTAATGGCGATGCTTTTAAATTTGTATCTGGGAGGTGCTTGGATGGAGTCTCGGTTGAGACAGCGGATATCCTGGCTGAGGTTCATATAATTTCCAGAATTAGGCATAATGGATTTTGCCTACTCTGTCATGGATCTCGCCTTCCTGTGGCACACCACTTTTGCCTGAAGAGGCATTGAATTCAGTTGCGGCAGAGTGACTGTTATGTATTCTCTCACAAATCCAGTTTAATATCATGACAGATGAAACTGCTCAGGAAGTTCGAAGATAAAGCATGAGCCCAAATATGATAACATTACTACACGTAATGCTAGCCGGGGATGTGTTGATCTGAAGGTGAAAAAGGAAACTGAAGAGAAAATAAATCTATGGAACCTCATTATACAGAAATCTGGACAAGATGCTCGCCATGTTTGAACCGTATGGACTGAGAGGAACATCTCATGCATGGATGAGACCATATCTTTCAGATAGATCACAGTTTGTTTAAATTCACTATATGGATCAAAAGACTTCTACAATGAAGACAGTTACCTCATCCCTTAAAGCATTAAATATGGTGTACCTCAAGGTTCTGTTTTGGGACCCCTTTTATTCCTATTATTTATAAATGATCTGCCCCAAGTTATACATAATGCAGAGGTAGTACTATTTGTTGATAATACAAATATATTGATTACTGGAAAAAATATTTTATCATTAAATGAAAAAATTCAAAATGTAAAGACTCAAGTAGAAAAATGGTTTTATGAAAATCGTCTAATAATAAACATGGATAAGTCAAAGGTATTACTTTTTCGGGGAAGTAGGTCTATTCCAAGTACCAGACCCCTTTTTTATATAAATAATAATGAGGTGGTTTGTTCAGTGGATGTAAAATTTTTGGGTATTTGCATTACTGAAGATTTAGGTTGGGTAACCCACACCCAATGTGTGTGTCAAAAACTTAGCAAGACTACCTATTTGATAAAATCCCTAAGGGACTCAGTGGGCCAAACTGTTTTAAGAAGTGTGTATCTTGCAAAATTTGAGTCCATGTTGAAATACGGTATTATTTTTTGGGGTGGGGTGCAAAAGGACTCTGAAACTCTATTTAAACTGCGGAAAAAATGTGTAAGGGTGATAAAGGGTGTTAAAAATAGAGTTTCCTGTAGAAATTTCTTTCGTGAATTAAAGATTTTAACTGTTACTTCCTAATATATTTTTGAGATCCTATGTTTTATAATAAAAAAATAAGATTTATACCACCCAGTATTCTGATGTTCATGGCTATAACACTATTCATAAACACAATTTGTATGTACAATTTTGTAATACTGAGCATAGCAAGAGAGGGGTGATTAGTATGGGAACCAAAATATTTAATGGCCTTCCAACTGAATTAAAGAATGTAATAAATTTTAATGTTTTTAAGAAGAAACTTAAGAATTATTTGTTGTGTAATGTCTTCTATTCTCTTCAAGAATTTTTTTAATAATTGCTGACATAGACTGCTTCTTAATAAATCTGTCTATATGTTTAAAATATTTATTCTTATGTCTTTTTTTGGAGTATTTATTATTCTTAAATTAAGTTAAAAATGTGATGAATCACTGTGTGAATGTTATGTTATTTTTGATGTGAGGTTGTTGATATTTGACATGTCCAATTGTAATTCTCTACAGCTATGGATGAAATAAATAATAATAATAGAAATGACGACAACAAGGAATATATAGAGGGCGCAAAACAATGTAAAACAATAATCAGATCTACTATAACACCAAGCACGTCAAGAGTAATAGTAACCTCCAGACCTGTACGCATGTGGGAGGTGCTCAGTTTGAATCTCAGCTGGGGCACAGGCTATCCTGACTGTGGATTTTCATGGTTATCCCTGGTCCCCGCCCCCAGGCAAGTGCTAGGAGAGTAACTCAATTAAGCCGTAACACTTACCTTCATTGACACTATATAATCTGCGATGGTGAAAGTGTAACCAAGAAAATAACCAACCTAAAACACTCAGCAGTACATAATGCTCAGAGAGGACCCTTACAAAGAGAAACCGACAGACAAATAATGTTTGAGAAGTACACTGGTATTATATGGACTCTGCTAACACACAGCTGTCCTGTTAGTTTGTCAGTTATCAACCTGTTACACATAAGCATGGAGGTATACAGCATGTTCCTCCAAAATGCTGATACCCTCCCACTAGACTACATGATATTATGTCTCAGAACAGTGCAACATGAGAAGAGGGAGGTTTACCAAAATTTAAACGAACCTCAGAAGACATACAACTTTAATAAAACCATGAGCAGAATTCTGAAACTTTAATAACCTGCAACGGAATGGCTGGTAACTTCTTCAATACAAGAAGATAACATTTCATGATGAAGGGAGAAGACACGCGGAGGAGCAAAGTACAGCCCCAACAATTCTTGACCTTGGTACTAGATACACTACTGGTATAGTATAATTTCCAGACATTCTTCTGTGGTAATATATGTGATCTATTCAGGTCATTTTAAGGCCCTGTCAGTATCACAGACTATATTACTGTGTGCCAAATGACATGAATTTCAAAAGACGTGGAAAGAAAACTGCCCTGGCTTAGTCAAGGTACTAACCCTTCATTTGCATGGAGGGACTCAGGAAAAAGCACACATAAACTGAGGTAGGACAGCCAGTGTTCTGGCAGGATACTCTGTGACACCATCACCAGTTATGACACTGAGTGACAGAATGAACAGTGAGTATGGAACTGGAAATGATGTGGAATGAAGCAGTGTTGTTCTATCTCACCATGTGGCTGGTGGAACACTGGGAAACCACAGTCGGGGTGGCTGGTATACTGCCTGAGATTTGAAAACACGACCTCCCAAATACGAAACAGAATGTTCACCACTCTATCACGAGTTCAGATCAAGCAATATATAAACCCAGCAAATGCAAGCCAACTGATTGTGGTGAGAGAAATGTATTGAACACAACATCTGCCAATAAGACGGGGAAGTACTGATTGCAATAATATCATAAGCAGAGCCTCTGAGGAGGTCTGTAAACAAGTCTTCAAAATCAAATCCATTACAGTGTCACCATACAAAATATTTGCCATACTGATGCTCAGAAAGTTATCAACATATCCTATCTACAACTAACCTGTAAAATTAGCAATTATATGAACCACTTTCACTCAACAGGAACCTTTGGGCCTTCCAAATCCTGTTAAGAATGACAGCATTAAAGTGACTTTACTGTCTTTTATATGAGCTATTAATTAACCTCATTAAACTCATACAGTTTTGAAAAGTACATGTCAAATGGCTACATAAACATAATGTAGCCATTACATCACAAATCACCCTTCCATTAAGTAACTCTTACTTCAGGTAAAATGTATACATTTATGGTTCATCATACGAAATTAACAGAACTTTCAAAACGGCTGCCAAAAAAAAAACAGATTAATAACCTCTGTACTGTTCAGACGACCTATTCTACTGCTGAGTGACATCAATGCACTTGGCCAATATCTCAGTCACATCCACAACGACATATTTGCTTACACGTTTACATAACATCCCACGGACCCATACTATTATCAGATCAGGTCGCAATGGGTTAACCCGTATTTTCAAAAATTAACTTTGATAAACTGTCAAACGATACTTAAACTGTGCCAATTTTAAGCGAAAAAAAAAACAACTTCAAAAGCACACGACGATGACACATAAAGATGAAACGCTAAATTGATCACTGCCATCGCCTCCGGCTGTCACCCACAATCCTCTGTGACTCCATTGTGTTATATCCAATGAATGTCCGTCGGCGATGAGCTTGATAGGCTTAAGAATTATTTGCCTATTTTTCTCAACGGAGATGTTACATTTCACGTTTATACCACCACAACTAATCTGCGGGCGATTAGACGTTTTAATAGATACCCAACAACCGATATTTCTAATCACAAGTGGACATACCTGGCGGTCAATCAAGGACGTTCCAAATTTGTTAACTGCCTGACAAATCGATTTCAAAAGTACCGACAAGGTGTTAATTATTCCAAATACAAACACTAGTCCGTGACCGAAAACACTTCATTAATGGAAACCATCATTACAAACACTTTAATAACACAATACACAGTTATTTAACATATCTCAAATGTCTTCAATCTGAGGGAAAAAATTAACGCATCCACGCAAAAATTAACCACTGATCCAATATGGCGTTGTCTCTACTTGTACGCTACGGGGCTTCCTTCAGTATTACAAGGATTCCGTAAACAAGTTGACATAAACAAATGCACGTGGTTTCACTGGTCATTTGAAAGTTCGACTCTTAAAGAACTGTAATAGTAAAAGCAGAAATAAGCCTGGCTTTCGCTTTGCGCTCGAAAGCGGAGCAATGGGCACTGAAAGAGACGCAGGACAAAGTGAATGACCGACACCTCTAATGAGATAAAAGACAAACAAATAGGAAGCATCCCCCCAGTGTGCGGTGTAAAAGAGAGATAGTATTGTGACGTCACTGCACGATAATCTGTCGCCAACCTCGTCCGGTGAAGCGAGGTTACTGAAAGCAGTCGAAGTGTCTGGGCGCCGCTCGTTTCGTAACTGTCGCTGACCAGCTGATCGGAGGTGTTGAAGGTCCGAGGTTCAAAGCCCAATGCCTGTAGTTCTTCTCAGTAGTCTGCTTATAAATAGAATAACAAACGTCTCAGTTTTACCTTCTGAACATTTATGGAATTAATAAATCCATATAAACATGGGCATCTCAAACGAGTTTCAAACGAAGATCCATCAAGTGATCCTATTCTAAGGGTTCTATTGTCCCAAATTTCTCTGCAATCGAGAAGGCGACGACAGAACATTCCAATTTTGGATTTTCTCGTTTCGTTAATTTCAAGCATAAGCAAACAGTTGACAGTTCCGACGCTAAGGCACTTTTCCTAGCCAGACCTTTCAACATGCCAATAGAAAGCGGTTTGCGTTGTAATTAAATATACATCGACAACCTAAACAGCTGTCGGTTTGGATTTTCGGGACAACCCCCTCCCCCAAACATTCGTCTTACAGAATGTCTTTACAACGTTAATAAAGCCAAGAAGGTCACATAACGAGGCGCTTCATGATTCTCGCTGTTCATCTAATACCGTTAGGGCTATTATTTCCCTAAGAATTTGATGGTCAGGGCATGTAGCATGCGTGTTTAAATGACAAATGCGTACAAAACTTAGGTGGCTAACCTAAAAGGAAGTCCCTTTAGGAGACCTAAATTTCAAAAAGTAAATAAAGTAAAGGTATCCCTGCAACAGGCCGTGGAGGCACATTGGGTTGTGAGGTGTTGAGGTACCCACATTTTCTAGACAATCGGTTCAGAGATGGCGGTGAGACTGTCAGCCTTACGTGCCGGCCGCCCTTTACCCCCAAGAATATTCCACTAATATTCCTGGTACTCATTTCTGTTAGTGGCTGAGTCGACCTCTAGGCCATAGTGCGGCCGGAAGGATTAGGTCAACTGAAAAAAAAAATCAATGACCTCATCGGGACTTGAACCCGCGACCTTCCGGCTTGTAGCATAGTGCCTCGACCAACTACGCTACCGCGTGCCCCTCCTAAGTTTCAATGGGCAAATAATATTAAAACGCTCTTAAGGGAAACATTACTTAAAATGTGGACTAAATTCAACTGGCTCACGATGGGGACCAGCTGCGGGTTTTTAATAACACGGTAATATATCTCCGGGTTCTATAAAAAGCGGAGATTTTGTAAGGAAGCTCAGCGAATACCAGTTGTACAGAGCAGACTCTGCAGCATACAGTTGGGATCAGAATAAAAGTTTCTGTAAACAGCGAAGTAGGCCTCTCATTCTGAAGCGAAGTACACTTGTCAACAGTCTTCCTATACCTCTGGCCTGGCGATCTGCTGGCCTCTGTTGCACCTCTACCACCGCACAACTTTTGCAGTGGATGCGGCAGCTCTGCGTATACCTACGAACCAATAACCAGTCCTGAACCCAAACACTGAAGAAGTCTACAGAGCGAAGAGGGTGTTAATTGTTTCCTCTGTATTTTTAGTGGCTTATTCAGCGATGCTGTCAGTATCTAGACATCTAGACTATGTAGTGCCTCATGAACTGGAAAGAAATTTGAAGCAAACGGTCGTGACATGTTCGACGTACTACGGTACATCGGTGCCGAGTTTCGAGCCGAACGTCTCTCGAATATCAATCACTCTAGACTCTAGAGCCTCTAGAGCGCTGCGTCTGCACCAACCCATTCGGTGGGGCAGTGCAGTGCAGTGTAGTGCAGTACGGTTGCCTGTGAAAATCCGATTGCATATGGGATTTGAGGTTCTCACGGTGACGAACATCTTTTGGAATGTGACGCCGTGTAGTGTGGTAAAAGTTTACCGACGTTTCGGAGGAACGTATTGCTTCCAGTTTTAGAGTCGAAGAGTAAGCCAAATGAGCATAATTTCTTTCTACAACTTTTGTTAGACTTTTTTTTTCGCCAATAAGTGAGTTACGCTCTGTATCCTTACAGAAATGCATTTATATCTCGAAATAAATTGTCCATTATGTGCATCCAATTTTAACCAAATTTGGAATAGTGTGGCTCCACAGTATGAAATTTCATGAAACTCCGTTCGCGTTTCTCACGTTCCTTCAGGCTTACAGACGGACAGACGGAATGATTGTAACGGACTCTCCGTAGGATTGTGAAGGCGCCTAAAATGTGAACGAGTCGTAATCAAATTGAAAGTAATGTCGCTCAAAAATCGGCGGTGGTATATCTTGTAAACAACATGGTGGATAAATTCCGTGACTTGGTCGCCATGAATTAGGCAGTAACATTTACTGCACACCAGACGTACTGGTCGTACCATTACGATTCTGTCCCCAGAGCCTCGTTTGTTGGACGAGTGCGAGTCACCTGAAAGTAAAGGTGGCTCTGAGGTAAAGAGCGTACCACAGTTTTCATATCGGAAACTTGTGTTGAGAAAAGTACTCCAGTTCACCACATAAAATTCTGTCTTGTCTGGTCTTGTCTGCGCGCACCGAAATACCAAGCTGAAGCACAGTGCACAAAATACAATGGTTGAATTGGAAATAGCGCAGCTCTACAGCCTACAACTATTTCTCAGCCTGAACTATAGGGCTCGGTAGCTGGCGGCAGTGGTGAATTCTTCCCGGCGAGAAGTGTCATCGGAAATATCGCACGGACAGATGGCTCTGTTGGAGCCGGTCGGACCGGGTCGGCTAATCTGTGTGCTTCATGGAGGCAAGATGTGGTAGTAATAGTATAGTTAGAAATTGAATGATTCGTACTTTTTCCTGCTTTTCGTAAGGAGACAGAGTAAGCTTATGAAACGACCAAGTTATGTATTCCCCTTCTCCCAACCCAGTGCATGGCATTCTAGCCCAACAAGTTTCGTGGAACGTAACCAAGGTAGAGTAACGTATGGTCCGCAAGGAAAACATACTGAAGAAGCTCAAATATATCCGAACAGCTTTAATTAATGAATGTGAGTGAAAGTGTGAATAAGAAACAGCTTCCCGACGTTCACAGCTGATTGGGCTGGGTAGAGAAAAATGAATGATATTTGTCACATCGCAACGGAATGCTATGATATATTGTAAAACAGCTCAAACATGACTGTACCTCAATAATTACAAACATGGTTAGGGTGTGTAATTTTGAGGTTATGTCAAAGAAATTTAACGTATATAAGGTTACATTTAAGGTCACTGTTTGATTATAAATTTACAATTTCTAAATGAAATTAACGGTGAATATCTTGGGGGGAGGTGGGTACAGGAAGGCAGTATTCTGAACGGCACCTTTGTATCTTGTCAATTATACCCGTACAGTACTTTTGTTCGAATGTTTTGAACATTACGAATAATAATGTATTATAAGCCCAAACTAAATACACTTAAATCTCAACTTTGCAATGATCATATACTGCTGCATTTTGGTTATAAAATGTCAGGGAAGACAGATGTTCATGCCATTGTCAAGAGCCACAAAAAACGAAATATCATAGAATTCCAAATTTTCAAGATTATTTCCTACATGGTGCCCCTCATGTCATGTCAGTCATTAATGGACAATAAACATATTTGGCTATCCAGACTCTGTGCATTCTTATTTCAGCATCTTGGATGGCGTTACAGTGACACTGACATTTAAAGCTAACTGCATTTCCACTGTCTAACAGGGCTATATATTTAATTTATTATACATTTTCTAGAGTTCACATATTTTTTCTTTAATAGGCTAAATACATTGGCTGTACTTCAGCATTGATTGCAAAAATGTAAATGACTTCTGATTGAGAGATATGGTACAGAATCTATTCAAATTAAAAAATGACAGTTTCGTTACTGCAGTCATCAAGTAGCTTAGTTGCTAAAAACAAACAGTTACTTCTACACTTACCAGAGTTCTTAAAAAATAAGTTGCACTTCAAAGTGACAGCAAGCAGAGAACAGAAAATCTGCAAGAATACAAGGCTGTAGAATAGGCGCAGGTTTGCACTTTTGTGTTGCCATAACATATGACAACCTCCCAAAACATTATCAGTGTTAATTACCCGCTATTTTCAGTTTTATTAATATAACTGTTATAAATGTTTCGGTGACTGTGTGGTTACTGCCACATGTGGCCCTCATCAGCTATATATGATATGTTCGAAACTTCCACTGTATCATCACCCTGTTGAGGGAAGTACCAAGTAATATTAATTGAAGGTTGAAAGTTAAAAATTAGTAAAAAAAAGTGTTTAAAATTGAAGCAGATAATAAGTCAGGTTTTCTTCTTTGGGGAGGAACACCATAGAGTAGTGTAGTTTTTACTAATAAAAAAAAGTAAAGGTATCCCTGCAACAGGCTGTGGAGGCCCATATGGTTGTGAGATGTCGAGGCTCCCACATTTTCTAGACAGTCAGCTTATAGATGGCAGTAAGGTTGTCAGCCCTACGTGCTGACAGCCCTTTACCTCCAAGAATATTCCTGGTACTCATTTCTGTTAGAGGCTGAGTCCACCCCAGGGCCATAGTGTGGCTGGAAGGATTAGGTAAATTGGGGGGGGAATCCACCTCATCAGGATTAGATCCTACGACCTTCCATCTTGTAGCATAGTGCCTCAACCAACTATGCTACTGTGTGCCCCGTTTTTATTAATAAGATTTAAAAGTTTGTGATGATGGTACATTAATACAAATATTATGTTTTTGACCATTATCAATCATCCTGTCTTTATCTAAAAACACTGTCCCGTTATATTTTTCAAAACACATTTTGGAGACTGGATTCTGTCTCTGTCTGTCTTCAGGTAAAACCTACTCAGCTGGTTCCTACTTCCAGACTGAAGATAGGGGCTAGCTCTTTCGATTGGGCCCAACTGAGTAGTTTTTACCTGAAGATGGAGAGAGAATCCAATCTCTGAAATGTTGTTTTTGGAAAATAAATAGGACGATTTTTAGATAAAGACAGGATGATT